GCACTCCATGGATTTGCGCCTCCCGTTCTGCCTCCCGAGGGAGTAGAAAAGCGGGAATCCTGTGTCGAGGTCGGTGATGATCTTCACCCGGGATCGCACAAATGCCCCCCTCGTCTGCTCCTCCTGTAGCCCTTTGAGATGCACTCCCTCTTCTCCTCGTATTCTCGGAGAAGAGCAGGGTTGCTGTCCTTGGCGAGCCGACCCTCCAAATCGAGGACTCGGGCTTCCATGTCGGCGATGTCCGCGTTCTTCTGTCTGGTGCTCCCCCAGGTGTATTGTTGGCACAACAGCCTGGTGTACACTTTGCCCATATCCCACCACTGGGCCAGAGAGTAGAACTGCGCTTTGGTTTTTTGCCATGCTTCCCAGAAATCCTCGAACATTTCTATGAAGATGCCATCCTCCAGCAGCGAGTTGTTAAAATGCCAGTGGGACGCGCCCTCGCGGGCCCTCTCCAGCCTAACACGGAGCATGATGAGGTTGTGGTCCGTGAAGGGTGCCGCCCTGATGCCAGACGTTATGGCGCACGTCACAAAGCTCTTAGAGATGTAAAATCTGTCGAGCCTGGACTGCGTCACCGAGCCGTCGCGCCTCGTCCTCGTGTACGTGAACTGGCTTTGGCCCGGGTGATGTATGCGCCACACATCCACCAAGGCGGCGTCCTCCAGGAGCCCCTGCATTTCCCTCTTCTGCCCAACTCCCCCCGGCTGCCTCCCCGAACGATCCAGGGTGCCGAGTATGCAGTTGTCGTCGCCACCCACAGTCACGCACTCGTCGTTCAGGATCCCGGCTAGGTGCATCTTCAGGAGGTGCAGAAACGGGATCTTCTCCTTGTTGGTCACCGGCGCGTACACGTTTAGTAGGTGGGTGGTGACATTGCCCACCCTGACCGTTACCGCGAGCAGCCTTCCCTTCACCACCTCGGTCTGGGTGATGAGCTCGGGATGAAACCCTTTAGCAAACAGGGTCGCGACTCCACAGGAGGTGTTGTCAAGATGGCTGTAGAAGGAGTCCCCTCCCCGCTCCTTCCTCCAGTCATTCTCATCCTCGACCGTGAGATGCGTCTCCTGAATGAAGAAGACAGAGGCAGCGTGTTTCCTCGCAAGAGACATTGCGGAAAACCTCCGCACTGCCTCCCTGCACCCGTTCACATTTAGGGAGCCGATGTACATAGGCATTGCTTGTTCCTTTCCTCCGTGGCCTCCCACCTTGTAATATATTTGCGGAAATATCTCAGCTTTGCCCTCTCCTTGTCCCGGGACTCGAGTTTCTGCTTGGCGAGGAGTCTCTCGGCTTGAGTCACAGAGGCCTTTATTTCCTTGATGTATTTCCATCGAGCCAAGGCAATGTCCGCTCTGTCCTTCTTCACGTTGGTCTCATCGAGGAAGTGCCAAAGATCAGGGGAGTCTGAGGGTCAAGGAGTGTCGACGCCTGGCTGCTCTCGCTCCCCACGCTGAAGCAGTCGTCCCGATCTGAGTCGATCTCCCCGCCATCCGGCTCAGTTGGAAGAGCTGCAGTGGCTGAGCTGGCGCATGGCCCAGCGGCGTCTTCTCCCCCAGTGTCAGGGATGGCCTGGGATGGCTCCTGCTCAGGCCCTTCGGGTGGATGGCCCGGTGTCTCTTCCACTGGTTTTGGGTCAGCAGTGGGACGGTGACCTTCCTCCTCATTCCCATCTATTTCCTCCTCGCCCCTGGTTAGTGTGGTCGATGTCTCTCCACCGACTTCCCCCTCCTCCTCTTGGTCGAGGGCGGAGCAAATTGTATTTGTCCCAGCTTCATCCATAGCTGGTGGGCGGTGAGGCTCTATGACCACAGGAGATGGGTCGATCTCCGTGGCGATGTCGCCTTCATCGTCCACGGTCTCCTGCTGTGGCAGCCCTTCCCCAGACGCACGCTGCTTCTTCCTCTTGGTGGGTTTCTTCCTCGCCGCTCGCGCGTTACTCGGCGCGGCGTCCGGGATGGCAAAAACCGCGTCTTTGGCGTCTGGCAGCTGTTCTGCTCCCTCCCCTGGTGTGGGAGGTTTTACCGCTTCTTCCGGCTCCAGGTCTGGGAGGTGTTCCTCCTCTCTCGCTCTCTCCCTCTCGCGCTCTCTCCTCGTCCCTGTTTACGACGTGCGCTTCATGTCTGTCACACGCAATTAATCCCCCCCTCACCACCCCCCGTCTTGTTACGACTGATAAGCGTCGTGAAATTTACGGCTATTTTAAGTGTGGTTTATTAAATCGGAGCAAAATATAGGGCATTCATTTTGCACTGGCATAAGGATGACAGAACATTTTGTACCCAATTTTGTTTTACATATATAAAAAAAACTGACAGAGGCGCACTGTACGTCGCGATGTGCGTGTGTGTTTTGCGTGGATAATTTCCGCGGTTAAATCGCCCGGCACGAGGAGCACCCCTGGCTACTGGGGGTGACCTCCGCATCGCACGCCCTCCAAGCAATTGCCTCTTTTTACAAATGGCTGCGTGTCCAATTACGCATTAATTACCACTACAGCCACTGTGAGATTAATTACCCCCTCCAACACACACCTATTTTTTTTGTACAAGCAGCACCCTACGTGGGATAGCATCTGCCTGCCTCGCGGGCAAAGCGTTTCCGCACGGCGCAGTCAAGTAACCTGCACCGGCGATTACCCGCGTATTACCCACGCATTTAATTCAAGGGTGGGGGTGGTGCCGACAGAGCAGCGTATCGAAGGAGCGCATCGTTGAATCAAAGAATTACTGTCATTGTGATTTAATTAGAGGTGGCAACCCTGCGTGCACGCGTTCAGATGAAAGAGCCCTTCGTGAGCGACGATGCCTCCTCGTGGCCCCCATTCACCCACATCGACGCTCGCTCGCCCGTTAACCGCGGTTCTTGCGCGCCACATGCAGGCGCCCTCGCGTGGCTCATTTCGCAGTTTAATTCACCGCTTTGTTGGGTTTTTTTCCGCCGTGCGCCACAATTCTCTTCCCCGACGGTCCGAGTCGTGACGCGCGCGCGTCGAAACCCCTCGTTCCCACCGCGCCGATCGGAGGTTGCGCCAGTGGACCTAGCGGCTCGCCACGAGCGGGAACACGCGGGCCACTCTTCCTTGAACGCCACTCGGCGCGGCTCGCTTTTGGTGGCGCGTTTGCTTTGATGGGTGGCGCAACTGGCGGTGCGAAGCCGCCAATTGTGCGATGGCACGCCGGTGTTGTGGCGGCCGCCCGTGGTTTTGGCCGCGAGAGCGATCTGCGTCTGCGGCCCACCGGGGTCTGTTCAGTGACAGCGAGCGCTGTTTACCTGTCGAAGGGTGACCGCTTTTACTGCAGGCTAACAGAGGCCCCTTTTTTTCTCATTCAGTAGAGCTGCTGCGTAAATAACCGAGCCTTCGCGTCTCAATTACGCGATTAACACCGATCGCTCGACGATCACGTTAATTATAAAAAATGACCAGTCTTGCAGGGCTTTAATGTATGGAGGCATGGCCGATCTAATTAATCGTAGTGTGTGTTTATGAATGGTTTTCACGATTGAAAATTACATGGGATTTTGGTCGTTCGTGCGGCTTGAGATGTTGAGTGGAGCTCTGCCATGCGCAATCTTGACGCGGAAGAGATGAGACTGCGATTGACATCACCGGTGACACACACCGTCATGAATAGTGAATGCGTACGAGAAACAAGACACCCCTTGCCTTTAAAGCCATGCTCTTGGATTCACACCGCGTGGAGATGCCGCCGCATCTCGAAGCGCTGCGCAACAACTGGGACGCGCACATCACGGGGCGATTCGTTGGCGAACGTAGCCCATCGCTTTGGAAGGGCCGGTCGTAGGCAAAAGCGAAGGTTGAATGTCTAGGGCCTGGACTTGAACGAGAGCTGAGAGTCGGCAGCACGGATTAGCAGGCGGGCGGGGAGAATTCCAGACGAGGGGGGGGGGCAGCTGAGAAGGAGCGAACGCCCGCTGAGTGGAGGTTGACTTAGGGCTTAGAGAGAGGTTGCTCGGGCCGAGAGCACATTGGAGGGAGTGGAGTGAGATGAGAGGGGAGAGGTAGGAGAGTGCGTGGAGGGGAGTAGAGTGAGATGAGAGGGGAGAGGTAGGAGAGTGCGTGGAGGGGAGTAGAGTGAGATGAGAGGGGAGAGGTAGGAGAGTGCGTGGAGGGGAGTAGAGTGAGGTGAGAGGGGAGAGGTAGGAGAGTGTGTGGAGGGGAGTAGAGTGAGATGAGAGGGGAGAGGTAGGAGAGTGCGTGGAGGGGAGTAGAGTGAGATGAGAGGGGAGAGGTAGAAGAGTGCGTGGAGGGAAGTTGAGTGAGACGAGAGGTGAGAGGTGGGCAGGGACACATCCACAGATGATCTTGAAGACTGGGAGTGCGATCTTGTCCTGCTTGGAAGCCAGTCGATGGACACGAGAGTTGTGGTGACGCGGTCGTGTTTGTGGATGTGGGCTTGGAGGCGTGTGGTGGAGTTCTGGGTTGTGTGGAGGTTGGAGGCAAGGGATTTGGCCGTGGCGGAGAGAGATGCAGTCATCACGTTGGGAGGTGATGGAGGCAGGGAGTGGCAACGGCCCCATGACCCGCACGGTGAGTCGAGGCCTTCATCCAGCAGTGGAGTGACCAAAGGGATGGTGCAGCTGCTGTCACCATACAGCCCTCATAGGGAACTGTAGGAGACTAAGCCGAAATCCCGTATAACGAGAAATGTCATGCAAACGCGCATCCACAAAGGCAAATATCCCCCGTGTAGCCTTTAACAGACTGTTGGGGGAAAATGCTGTTAGTGAGCATCTATTAAGGCCCACACAGCACGCAAGAGGGTGGGTGGGCAGCACCACGTCTAGATTGAAAACTCATTTCTTCAGAACTGCTTTTTGTGTTTCGTTTGTTTGTCTTTCACCCGCACCTCCGATTAGCACGGTTGGCTACGTACGGTACGAAAGAAGTTCGGCATACGTATATATATACAGGAGATACGTGCGTGTAGGGCATGTTGTAAGCAATGATCCTTCATCGCATATTGGACACGGGTTGGAAACTCGCAGCAATGTCGGGGTCCATTGCGGGCTTTCAGGATGTGAGTGACCGTGGCATTTGTAAGGGACAAAGGAAACGGCGACAGAGGAGATGGAGGCGTTGGCAAAGCTGGTGAGGTGGGCGCTGGGCTGGCGTGGTGCGGCAGTGTGGGGTCAGCGTTGATAGGAGACGCGATCCAGGATGGGAGAGGATCGCTTGGGTCGGGAATGAAGGTCGTGATGCCCTCTGGGGTGGCTGGAGGGAAGACGTGAAGGGGACGCGGTGAACCAAGGAGGGGCAGCTCACCGGAGAAGAAAGAGGCTGGAATGGCTGTGGATTTTGAGGCGAGTTGAGTGGCAGGTCGCGCAATGGTAACACTTGTGCCTCGTAGCAAAAACAAAACCTCGGTTTGATTCCCGACTCAGGCGCCTTTCTGTGTGGCGTTTAAACATCGGTCTTTCCATGCTCTGCGTGACTTTTCATTGAGCTCTCCGGTTTTATGCCACAGCAGAAAAGCACGCAGCCTAACCGGTATTGGTCATAACATCCCAATGCTGAAATATTCCTTGCAAATTATTCAATTTGAATCAGGCAGCAGCAGCAACATCACCCCTCTGCTGCGAAAACTATTGGCAGGATCGTCTTGAATAATACGTTTGAGACTCGCCGAGGTTTCCTGGGTAAACGAGCATAGTTGAGAAGAATTAATAATCATTAATAAAATGTTTTATGATAATTCAGTTGATCCCGCTTGCCAACTGACGGTGGAGTGGTGGGTGCAGCAGGTTCAAGCGTCGTTACGGGGTTTGACACGGAGACCCTGACCTGGTGTCCAAGTCCCTCGGCGTTTATTCGAGGTTTCGTGGATCCGCGTACGGGCACGGGTCTCGTCAAGTGGAAAAACGCGGCCACGCAGCCGCGGCTAGGCAGATCGGAGACCCGGTGTTTGATATTCACTTGAAAAAAATGTCGCTCCGACCTCGCACGGCTACAGGAAGAGCACTCCGTGTTGTTTCGCAATGCTGGACTGCGTCTGGAGCGACCGTCCACAGAGACTTTAAATTATTTCCACTTTTGTTCGGTCGCTGTTGTGTGCGCGATGCTGCTTCGGTAGGTGGCGCACAGCTGTCACCAAGCACTGAACAGCACTGCCCCGGATAGCAACAAATGTAGAGAATAGAGTGACATTTCGGGCAATGCCCCTTCTTCATGGCAACATACATCGAGTATGTCGAGGGAATGCCTTGCTGGCACGGGCGGGGCGCAACAGATGCGCGGTCCCTTCTTCTTCTTCTGTCTGTCTGAGCTGGAATCACCAAATCCTCCTCCTCCTCCTCGCCTCCCTCCCTCCCTCTACCTCCAACCCCTGCGCGCCTTCCCCTCGCACCGCCGTCGACCTAAAGCCCCCGCCCACTTCAATCGGCTGAAAAGATCTGCCCGCGGTTGCTAGGCAGCTTCGTGGGAGCTGTATTAGTCAAAGAAAACAAAAGCCCGGGTAGCCGTGTGGGAGGAGCGGGAGGAGGAGGAGGGGGTGGCGAGGTGATGTCCGCGTGAGTGCCGCGCGTCGCTGCTGCTGCGGCGGCGGCGGACGGAGGAGAGTGGAAGGGAGGGGTTTTTTTTTGTTTCGGGGTCGGCTGCTCGCGAGAGAGGGTGGAGAGAGGAGGAGGAGGCAGCGTCGAGTTTTTTGCGCGGGAAGACGGAAACGGCAGAAGCATCATCATCATCAACAGCAGCAGCGGCGGCATCAGCCGTGCTCCCGTTCTCGCGTCGCCGATCGCGCGTGCCTGTGTGTGCGCACGCACGCACGCACGCGTTGGCACACACACAGCGCAGCACACCACACGTGTGTGTGCCCGGGCTGCCATCTGTCTACGTTAATCCGCTGCTGGGGCTGCGGCGAGCGAGAGGGCGGGCGGGGAGCGATGCTGTCGGGGATGGTGGTGGCGCGGCGCTCGGCATCGCCACATCCCGCCGCGAGCGGGGGGCCTCTCGCGGCGCCGTGGCCGAGCCGGACTCGCGGCGCTGCCCGCGGCGTCGCGGGACGAGGAGGCCGCTAGATGAGAGGCGCCGCCAGAGCGCGAGGAGGAGGAGGAGGACGAGGAGGAGGAGAGCCGCATCCCGAGCACATCCGAGCAGGCATGGCCGCGCGTTCGCCGCGGGGACTGTCGGCGCTGGGGGTGGGAGAGATGTCGTGCGTGGCGGAGGAGGCCGAGCTGGAGATGCTGTACGAGGAGGAGGAGGAGGAGGAAGAAGAGGAATACGAGGATTTGCGTTGTTTTAGCCGATACTGCGAATCACCGGTAAGACGCCGCCGATCCGCACGCCGCTGCACAGATGCCTTTTTTTTGCACGCAAACGCTGTGGCTGTCTGCGGTCCGAGAGAATCCACGATTCGTGCGTAAATAAATAAAGAAACAATTCTCATGGTAAGGCAGAGGTGACATTTGAATGAATCGGGCCGAGCGAGGCCGCGTGTGTGGGCGGCCGTGAGCAGCAGGGGGTGGAGTGGTGGTGGGGGGGTGCATTGGGTGGGGCGGTGCGTGGCGACGGGAGGGTGGTGATGGTGCTGCTCTCCCGGGCCCTGCTGCCAGCGAGACAGGGCACGCGATGCACCCCGGGCACTTTACCTGCACGGGAGGAGGAGGAGGAGAGGTGCTGCACTGCAGAGGACGACAACAACAACAACCCTCCCCTTTCCCCCCGACTGACCACGCTGAACCACGGAGCGCGTGCTCGTGAGCAACGCCGCCAACGACTTTGGATTTGGAATACATCCGCTGCGTCATTCACTCGTCGTGAATAATAATAATACTCGTTTTGGCGAGAAACATTTCGGACGTTGCTGTCGTGCAAGGGGCTCTCGCTGCGTTATCGCGTTCCTCGCTCCTAGAATTCGTTTTGGGAATGCAAAATTAAAGGGAGAAAATCCGTTATGTAATGCAGTGTCCTACCCGATCAGCGTTAATGTCATGCTTGTTAATCATTGCAAATAGGGTGTTTAATGAGTGCTGAAGGCGACTGACTGTGAGTGGCTAAGCTATTGCTGCATTGCAAAGCGGGGCCCAGAGCCTACAGCACTGTGAAGTTATTGTCAGGGGGTTGGTTGGTCAGTACCAGCTGGGGTGAACATTTGTACCAGCAGTGTCCACCATCAGCAGTGTCCACCACGGGCTGTATCGTAATGTGCAGTCTGTTCTATCGAGACACTTTCTATGTATCCTCAGATTGCATCGATGTGTCATAGAAATTATCTTCCAAAACAAAATACTCAATCAAACATGCTACAGTCGTCCCCTCTGACTTTACAATATTTTTTCCATCACAAAAGCTACCACCGTGATCTTGCGCTCATATCTACGTGCGATCTAGAGATACAAGTTACAACAAGGTGTTCGCAATTGCCACCCAGGGTGCTAGCCATAAGAACATGTTTGGGCCAACGTCTCAAGCACCACAAATGGCAGTGAGAGAGCGTGGCACCGTAACCTCGCTGGGTCACCCTCGTCACTGCCAGTGTGAGCGGCAGTGCGCAGAGGAACGGCGTGAGCGCGGCTTTGCCTCTCTTGCCACCTCTGCGCCGGAGGAAAAAAAAAATCGATGGACGCTGCGGCGCGGTGCCACACGCCTCGTGGAGTTCGCATGTTGTGTGGTCTTCTTTTTTATTACCGAATCAGTGGGGAGGCGGTGGCGGCGGAGTTCGGGGTTGGAGATTCGCGATTGATGGCGACGCCTTCACGGCGACGATTCGATTGACCGATTGCCAAGACGGTGGACCACACTCGTACCGCGCCCGTCGTCAGCGTGTTCTGCGCAGCTCCCATGATGCATCGTGCTCCATCGATTCCTACGCGCGAAACCGATCGGTCCCCGACGCGTATTGATCACGTATTGATCACGTATTGATCACGCCGGGCAGTTGCCGGAGTTGGGACAATGCGTGGCAGCGGCCGCTGCGCTCGCGACGCCCACTCAGATGGAGGGGCCGCCCCTCCGCCTCGCGATGCAAATCCGAGCGTCGGACGTCGACGACGTTTCGTCTCACGAAGCTCGCCGTGCTCGTCCAGCGGGAGCCCCTGCCTTGACCGGACCCCTCCCCGCGCCCTACACGACCCCCCCCCCCCCATTCGTTCCCCTGGCGTCGCCGAGCCGAACGCACGACCGCCGTGTCCCGGCGGTCACTTCGCGAGCGAGCTGAGCCGCGTTGGTTGAACGCGGCGAGGTGACAAGCGTGGCACACGGGGGGGGGGGGGGGGGGGGGCGGTGGTGACGCGCGGGCGAGACGCGGGCCCCGTGGGGGGGGCAATGAGGGGGGCGGCAAGGAGGGGGGGGGCAAGGAGGGGGGGGGTCTCTCGGCCGCACGCCACCAGCAGCAGCTCCTTGCTGGTGCCCTGAATTAAAAAGTAAATTCAGATTTTAGTACAAAGGCCTCGAGGCGTGCTCAGTCTGGTGTGAGAAAAAAAATCCAAGCGCAACCCCCCCCTCACCCCCCACACACAAACATTTTCCTGTCTGTTAGTGCGAGAGTTGTGGCGGTGGTGCTGCATGGCTCTTCAATGTTGTTGTGTTGTGCTGTGGTCAGCAGCGTCTATGGGGGGGGGGGGGGTGTGGGTGGCCCCGGGGCAAACCCCACTGTGGGCACACTCCGACGCCTTCAAACTAAACCGGAAGTATTTCATCTGATACCGTGACGCCAAAGCCCCCCCCCCCCAAAAAAAAAACCCAAAAAGCGGGGCACGGGGCGGTCGCACCGATTCGCCGTTACCCTAGCGACGGCTCTGGCTGCGGTGTGTCGTTCGCTCCGCGCATTGTTCCGAAGAGTTCCCGGAGAAGCTCCCCGGCGCGTGGAGAGAAGCAGTCGGGCGCAGTGCCGAGGGTCTCGTCGCTACGCGCCAGGGGAGGTGGGGGGGTCTGCGAGGAGCAGCTGCGCTCTCCCACAGCGGGAACTTGAGCGGCGTCGTTTTGAGTGCCGCCCCCATGCGGGTCCCCGGGTAGAGGCACGGCGCGGGAGAGTGTACGTCAACAGAATGCATTCAACAAAAATCGTTTTTGCGTGGGTTTTAAACGCCACGTTCCGCCGCGCACCGGCGCAGTAGCCCGTGAAGATGTCTCGCTGCTTCACAGGAACGTGCCTTGAGGTCGCGGTCAAGCGCAACGGCGTTCGGGGGCATTCTCGTGACGTCCGCGCGCGCGCGTTTGAATCCAAGTCGCGCGCTGCTGCTGCTGCTGCTCTGAGCGTCATTCTCTCTATCTCTCTCTATCTCTCTCTCACATTAATGACGCTCCCAGCTGGTGGAGGGACAGAGCGAGGACTCGCAGCCTCTGCGCTCAGCTGCACGGCGAGAGCTCTTTAACATGGCAATAAGCAATCCTGATTTGAAGCTTTCGTGACTGCACGAACCCACACCCTCTGGTTCTTTCGGTAAAGTCACGTAGTAGGTAGAAGATGTAATAGATCACGTGACGTTTCCATCGCAACTGCAAGCAATCGTCATCAGGTGAGACAAACACAGCAGGAGAACTGCTGAGGCAGGAGAAAGAGCTGCTGCACCAAGAGGTTATATCGGCTTGAGGTGGGCTCAACCCAAGGGTAATTGGGCGGAGCTAGAGATGAAATTTGCATGAAATAACCAACTCACCCGGAAAGCGCCCGATCTCGCCAGATCTCGCCAGATCTCAGAAGCTAAGCAGCAGCGTTGGGTGTGGATCCCGCTTGAATGGGTGACGGTGCTGGTTGTCATCGGGGGAATGCTTTGATGTTGACTGCCGGCCGGATTGGCCCTTGAAAAAAAGCTTCTTATCTCACTGGGATTTACTCGGAGATGAACTTTTGATTCTTCCGAAACTTCTGACTGCGGGGCAACGGGTTTGGTAGCTGAGGGGAGTGCAGTGTTATACGGTACTTCTAAGCTTCCGAGTCTACGCCTCGCACCTTCACCACCAACGCGCACTGCCCAGCGTTGGGTGAATCACGGCCAAACAACGTCGGTGACCCGCGCGGCACGGGGAGGCCCTCGTCCAGTAGCGGGTGGCACGCGTCCGTTCCTCTTAGCGTCGCCCGCTCGGCGCCGGCATCGACCCTCAGCCCGTCCCCCACGCGCTCCGTCGCATTTGGCACCGACGCCCGGGCGGCCCAAAATCAATACGCTCGTGGCGATGGAGGCGACGCGGTGGCGCGTATTGTCACACTCGCCCTACTGATCGATCCGGTGGTTCCCGAAATGTTGGACGCAAGCGGCTCGTCAGTGCCTCTGTCGAGCAGCGGAGCTTAATCGGGCAGTTCGAGCGCTCGTCAAAGGTAACGAGGCGGCCAGCGTGGGACCGCTTTGGTAGGCACCCGTACATTTGCCTACCTGGGAATATTCTGCGGGCGTCGCCCGGACATCAATTCCAGGCACCCCGCGATTGCGTGTACGTCTGTCGGGTGGTGGCGCACTGGTTAGCGCGCGAGCTTCATTGCTGGCCACGGCCAACATCAGTGGCGAGCGACATCTGACAAGGGCCTGGTTCCTCCGTTCACCGGCGCACACTGATCCTGGTCAGCGTGATGATGCATTGCCGATCAACCCCGCGTGACCACCACGGCAATGGGGAAGCATCCTTCCAGCAGCAGATTGACAAAGGGCTGCAATACACCGCAGCCACGATGATCCACCTCTCACCGATAATAAGTATCCCTCCGTGCAGCTCGCAAACTGCCCTCGGCCGTGGCCATGGCAGTGGGAGGGCGGGATTGGCCTCGTGGCAGCCGCCGCTGCCAGGCGAGGGCTGCGTCTCTTCACAGTCTCCGCCGCAAATTAAACCTCTCCCGATGGCAGGGGGCCAGTGGAGTCGTTGTGTGTGTGGGGGGGGGGAGCACCTTAACAGTGATACCCCACGAAGGAGAGTGAACTTGGGGGGGGGGGGGGGGGGCACATGGACATCTGATGGTGCAGTCCACCCCGACCCACGCCCCCCGCCCCGCCCACAGGAAGCGACGCTGCCCAGATGTTGCCAAGTGCCCGTGTCAAGAGCGCTCATTACTGATAATTGAAAGAGCGATGGCACCAGACGTCAATTTTCATCTCACGCCGTGAGACGGCCGGGGGCGGGGAGGTGGTCCCGAAACGCAGCCGCCCAGCGGAGTGAGGATCGCAATCAGAATACTTATTTAGACTGGAGGAATCCGATGAGCTATAAAGCTATTTTTCACAGATGTCCAGTAGGGGTGCGTGAGAACGTTAAAGCAACAATCCGAAAACACGATAGGAGTGCAAAGTACAGGAAAGGTGAACAAATCACTTAAAAAATGTATATAAATAAAACTAAACCATTTAAAATATATATAGATAGAGTCCGCCAAGGTGTTTACGTGATTGTTCAGAAGCGACCTGGCCACGTGGCACAGTTGGACCTCTCTGTGCTTCATCGTCGATGCAGCAGCAAGGCAACTTCGCCTTGCCGTGGTACGGGAGAGACGCAGCAGCCCCAGCAGCAGCCCCAGCCAAGCCGCCGGTTGGCCAGGCGAGCCGAGCCACTGGGCCGGGTCGATAACATTCGCGACGGGGCTTGCGGGGGGTTCATTGAAATTCACGTCTGGGATTGTCAACGGGCCAGGCGGTGAATATTGGCGAGGCGCTGTCACGAGTCGACGTCCTCCTCGAGAGGTTCCGGTTGTACAAGAAAGAGGCTTTCGCAAACGCCACGTCACGTAGCCCAGTCCACCCGTGTGTCTTGGCCGTTCATTTCAACGATAACGCATCAAGGGTGGTGGCTTCAAAATACCTTCTTCGTGGCATTTGTGTGCTTCGAGTCTCCGCGTGCGTGTTTGTTATGCAGTTTTAAGCCGATTGACATGCGGAAGTCACTCTGAATAACAGAGGCGATGTTTTTAGAATGTAAAACATCTTCGTGCGCAGTGTTGACAAGCTCCAGTTGTCATTAAACAAAGGCGGAGCCAGGATTTTCAGGTAGGGGGAGCAACCCCTCCAGCAATGAAAAATGATAGAGAAGTTGTTAGTAAGTGAGGAGTTGTTAGTAAGTAAGGACTTGTCCCTTGCTTTTCATTCGACGCGTGTGCGGCGATGGCGCAGCCATCGATCGAGGGTCGAATTCGAACCGCGTTGTGTGATCGGCATCGCGCTCGATGAAGGTGAATGCCTTCAGGGAAGTCGTGTACTGTATACGCAACTGCGCGCAATTCTGAGTCACTTATAACCGCATTGCCGTTACTTATTGCCAATTATGGACTCAGACTATTGTCCTATCATCCCACATAGAGTCCCTGGCACGTAATAATATGCTACACAGTGGCAGTGGGGGTAGCAAAATGCCGATGTATTACTAATAAACCCCAATGATCCGATCGGAATTATGGATTTAGATCGGATCATTGGGGGGGGGGGGGAGGGGCACGTGCAATAGTTTGTTACGCCGGAGAATCCCTTGAGATGGAACGGTCGTAGGGATAGAAGTCCACGGCGTCAAGTGATGCATTCGTGGTAACGGTGCTGGTCCCGCTCCGGCTAAACTCGCAGCGGTCCCCAACCTTTTTGGCACCGGGGACCGGTTTCGTGGAAGACAATTTGTTTCACGGACCGGGGCGGGGGGGGGGGTCATCATTGGGTCTTTCCCCCTTTTTCAAAGAAGTTCTCCAGCCACGTTTGTTTTTTTACTCATTTTGGCTGAGGTTAGTTTGTGGGCTTTATACCGAAACTGTGACAGAGACAAGTGCGGAAAAGAGGCGCGGACGGAAGTGGTAAATAATAAAATAATGGGGGCGGGCCACGCGCGGACTCACCGCTCTCACCTCCTGCTGCTGTGCGGCCCGGTTCCTAACAGGCCACGGACCGGTGGCCCGGGGGTTGGGGACCCCTGGGCTGAAGTGCGAGTTGCGGGCAGCCGGGATTTGACTGCCAACCCACACGGCGGCTCCCCCCACTGCACGATGAGCTTGGTGGTTGGGCGAGGGTTAGGGGGTGGGGGGCGAGCCAGGGCCTTACTCACTCACTGCGGTCACTCGCTCGTTGGCGTCCAGCCACCTCCGTATCCCTCTTCTATCGCTGCTGCTGTTGCTGCTGCCATGGTCACTGCTGGCAGAGCGGCCTCGCTCTGCGGTCCCTGGCGTCTGCGACACCGCAGCTCCTCGGGTTTATTGGCCACGCTGGAGAGGGGGGGGCTCCGCGTAGCTGCGCTCGCTGGGAGCTCCGCGTGAGGATGAAAATCCACAACCACCCCACCCACCCGAGCCCTCCCCAGGTCCCTCGCTTGTTGGGTCCCAGACGACAGAGACACGTTGGGAACTTGCCTTCCCGACGAACACTCTCTCACGCTCTCTCACACCCGCACTCTCTCCAGGAATGAATCGCACTGTTTAACGAGCCCAGTGTGGATATAGAGAGGATTGCGTATTCACGATTAATGATACAGTGCATAAGTGGGATAATGTTAATCATTAGCCCACGTCAAGTATAAAAAAAATGTGAATACATTCATTTGTAATAGGTATTCTTTGGGTCTTTCGGTAAAGCCACGTAGATAGAAAAAATAATTTAAAAAAATATCACGACGTTTCGATCGCAACACAAGCAATCGTCATCGGGTGAATATCCAGTTTAAATGTGGCTGGTTGTTGCTGTGAGGTCATGGCCACTGTTTAATGAAACTGGGTCAGGTGACACACACTGACTCTTGACATTCTGGATCTTTTCTCGATGATGCTTCATGCAGTTTCAAACAAAGCGTCACGGTATTCGCTCCTTTTGTTCGTGAGGATTATTCTTTAGCTTGCCGGTGGGGATCTGAAACAATGATCACTAAAGGCTTGTACAGTACACCGGGTGGCTATTCATTTGTTTGGCTGTGTAGGGTGGGTGGAAGGTTGACGACACAGATTTGTCAATGATGGATCAGTCATCTGTGGCTGTGAGATATCCGCCTGGGGTCCTTATGGAAGATAGTGCTAATGCTGATAGCCGTGGTGATTCAGTAAAAAAAATACCTTTATATATACCTTTAAAAATAACTTTATATGTTTTACAAAAAAATACGAGACATTTTTTTGTCATAACATGAATTTAAAAACAAGTTTGTGCCTGTTTCAAAGCTTTAGGCGGTGTGGTCACCCGCGGCTGAACGCGATGCCCCGTTGCGGAGCGAAGCTCGTGAACAACGACCGCACAACAACAAACACGGCTTTGGCAGCAATTTGTTAAAAACCCAGCCCTCGCCCCTGAGCCGTCGTGTGGCTCGGGTCACGTGGAGCATGAGATGAGCAGCCCTGACACGCACCGTTGGGGCACATCGGCTTGCGTGGCCGCCTTCGCCGACCCGCTCTGACCGGCGCGGCGAAGCACGGTCGGGTAACGCGTGCCAACGGAGAGCGTCTCACGAGCGATAGTGAACGGCCGCGGGTGATAATAATGAAAGCGTCGGTCGCTGTGCCTGCCAGGTGGATCAGTACCACCGGCACTCGCTCTCGCCCGTGCCGGAGGAGTCCGGCGAGGAGGAGGAGGAGCCGTGCGGCGTCTCCGCGGGGTCCGCCGGCTCGCGCTCGTCCTCGTGCGAGGGCCTCTCGCCGGGGGCCCTTCCCAGGGACGGCTCTCCCAAGCGGGTGAGATGGCGGCGCGTACTTCGGGAGGGGAAGTGGGGGAAGACGGCGGGGGGGGGGGGGGGTGAAACAAAACCACAAAAATCCCCACCATCGGCGCTGATTGGGAGCGTTCACGCCGGTGGGCAGATGGAAACGCACGCCGTGCCGGTCATCGTAGACACGTGGCAGATCTCGTAAAATCGTGATTATAATCCCCCGTGAGCCCTGGGGGCCCGCCACACCTACGGTGAACCACAGAGAGGGGGTGGGAGCAGGACGCTGGGCACGCGTCCGCACTGCGGGGTTGGCGCGGCTCGGTTCGCCTCCACCCCCCACCCCGACGTCGTGACGGATCAAAGGAGTGGCACCGCGCTGTCACTAACTAGGGCAACGCCACGCTCCCCGTGCCGGCCGGCTCGGCTCGGCACCGAGCGGCCCCGTGTACGGAGAGACGCTGCGCCATCGGCACAACCGGCAACCATCCACGCCGCCGCCCTGTCGGAGAGAGATTCGCACGCGGGGTGTCTCTTAGTCGCTCGATGTGAACGTGCCGGTGGGTGTCCGGAGATGGGCACCCAGGGCACGTGGTGGTGTCTGAGAGCGTTGATGTGAGCCGCCGTGCGCTCACCCCCCCCCCCCCCCCCCCCCCGTGCAAGGCGGCGACGGCGGCTGCTGCGGCTGCTGCGGTGACTGCGGTGGCGCAGTCCGCGTGCGAGCAGGAGCTGCTCCGGGCCGCGGCGGTCAAACTGCGCACGCTCGCCACGCCGCGGCTGCCCGGCACGCGGAGGCGCGAGGAGGAGGGCGAGGGAGAGGAGGGTCCCGAGGACGCCGAGGAGGTCGAGGAGGTGCAAGACGAGAAGAGGCCACTCAGCTCCTGGGAGACGCTCGAGTACCTTGTACGTGCTCAGGTGATGGGCGGCGGTGGGCGGATAAAACACAGCGGGTTGGCACGGTAGGGGGCACGGTGTGGTGCGTCAGTCAACCCATGGCACCTGGGTCTGTCCCGTGACAAGACACTTCACGTGGCCTCAAAGCGCACCTAGTCCGGCACAAGCACCGTGGTGACGTCACCATAGGCGGTTGTTGTTGGGGGTGGTGGCCACAGCGCCGGCCTTCATAGAGGTGTTGCTCGCTAACAGCACTTGCCCCAACAGTCTGTTGAGGCTTCACGGGGGTCTTTGTCTTTGGGGGGGGGGTGGTGGGAAGGTGCTGGGGTGGAGGGGGCGGGTGCGGCACACGCCTCCCCAGGGCTCCCGCAGCTCCGCCAGGGCCAGCGCCACCACACAGCGTGCTTGCTTGCGAACACATCCAGCTCGCAAGTTGAGCAGCGGCCGAGCCTGGCTAGCGCCTGAATGAGTAACCACCGCGGGCGTCACGTCAGCACAGGCGGCTACGAGCCCACGCGGTGGGCAACAGAGGGCAGCACGGCAAATTTCCGTTTTCTTTGGTTCTTTCGGTAAAGTCACGTAGAATGAGAATAAAATAATAAATTGATAAAATAAAATAACACAATAATATTCTCACGACGTTTCGGCCACAACACAAGCGGCCACAACACAAGCGGCCTTCATCAGGCCGCTTGTGTTGTGGCCGAAACGTCGTGAGAATATTATTGTGTTATTTTATTTTATCAATTTATTATTTTATTCTCATTCTACGTGACTTTACCGAAAGAACCAAAGAAGATGAATCATTGCAGTCACGAAAGCTTTAAATTGAAATTTAAATTTCCGTTTGTTTTACCAACCCGCACCGATCAGCGTGGGGCAGCACTCATCCAGCAGTGGAGTGACTGGCGGGCTGTACACATGCAGGTGGTCATGTTTATGATGATATGTTCCGATGCACCCGCAACTCACCGATTTAAGTCTGAATTGAAGGCATAATTTTCAAGAGCGTTTTGAATGTAACTGATGACGTGAACGAGAGAGAGAGATGGCTCACGCACAGTTTAGAGTTTCTCTTGCGTTTATTCTCAATCGTCCGTGTGCATTGTCTACGATGCATGGAGCGCCGTCATTGGTGTGCTGTCACTTTCCCAACCGAGTGGACATCTCAGATGCCCCTTGGCTCTGATGCAGCGAGACGTTCCACACCGCAGGCTTAGCGGTGCGAGCGATCACTTCGGCACGCGCCGCGTGCGCGTGGAGCCGGTGGCACGGTGACCAGCACCGTGCGATTCTCGGCGACAGGACCGACCGCTCCAGGACCGGGCCGGCGTTGCGTGGCAACAACGGAGGAGGAGCAGTGACGACGAGGAATACAAGGAGGACGAGGAGGAGGACGAGGAGGAGGAGGAGGGCCTCGCGCGGTCACAGCCGAGCCGGGAGGACGGCGTGGCCTCGACGCTCGGCTCCGACGAGCCGTGGAGGCGCAAGCGGAGCCGGCGGGACGAGAGCGAGCACCGGGCGGGCACGGGTGGCCGCGAGCGCGAGGAGGACACGGTGCGGGAGGCAACCGCCTCCGCCCGGCACCGCGCGTCCAACGGGCAGCAGCCCCGGCAGCGGCGCCGGCGGCTGAGGAACGGCTCGGCCCCGGAGGCGCCGGCAGCGAGCGGAGAGCCGGACGATCGCTACGAGGAGGAGGAGGAGGAGGAGGAGGCGGCGGCGACGACGGCGTGGTCGCGCGCGGCAGAAGGCGGCGGCGGCGCCGCGCAGGAGGGCGGCTGGGCGCTGCGGGTGGCGCTGACCGAGGCGGAGCGAGTGCAGAGCTGGCTCATGCAGGCGCACGCCTCCCTGGGGCGCTGCGGCGCCGCGCGGTGGGGCCGCACGCGCGACGTGGCCAGCCAGCTCGTCGACTGCCAGGTGAACGGAATGCTCGGAGGGTGTAACGGATGATACTGGACACCTGTGAAAAAGTGCTTTAGAGCTCATCGGATTCCTTCAGCAGACAGTAGAATAATACATCTTGACTTAAAGCTTTCGTGACTGCAGGAATTCATGTTCTTGGGTCTTTCGGTAAAGTCACGTGGATAGGTTCAAAGAAAATAACAAAAATAACAAAAACTACGACATTTCGATCGCAACACAAGCGGTCGTCTCTTTTTTTCTTCCTGAGGACGCCCGCTTGTGCTGCGATCGAAACGTCGTAGTTTTTTGTTCGTTATTTTTTGTTATTTTCTTTGAACCTATCTGCGAGACTTTACCAAAAGACCCAAGAATATAGTAGAATAATATTCTGATGCTGGGAGGGTGCAAGGCATGCTGAGAGATACGACAGGCTCTGATCTAGGTGCTGTTGTGCCCCTCTCTGGAGTCGCCGTTTGATGTCGTCAAGTAGCAGGAGAGGAGTTTATCTTCGCGGCGGGCCTCTGTCTAGAGAGGCCATGTTATGCATTGTAATTCTACGCAGAGAAGCGCAAATTAGTGGCCCAGAAAAATGGAGCGTGGTGTCTCTGAGGAGAGGGGAATTGCCTTTCTGTAGAAAGTCCCGTCAATAATTATTCCTCCGATGAAACGTGGCACGCTCACCGGGTTGCTGGAGGCCGGTGTGTATATTGCACTCCTCCTGCTCCCGGAGTTTGCGAGTCGCACGCGAACACCATCTGTGTCGTAATCAAGCCAGGCGTATTCAAGAGTCGTGTTGCTTGAGTTGTCAGGGTGAGGCGGGCACGTCCCGCTGATCTCTGTCCCCATGAAGAGCGATTCACAGACAAAGCAAGCGGTGCGACGCGGAGACAGATAATTATGTGTAGAGGTCTGATTTGTGAGCGTCTATAGACAATGACAATTGTAACTGCACTCGCTGTGGGCGGGTAATTGGGCCGGGCGCATACGTGACGGTTGGATATGTCACTTTGGACCAGCAACTAATGTACTAATAATAATCATCATAATGATTTAAAAGACGATTTATGTGGAGTCCAGACGCTGCTAGTTGATCTCGTTCCACCTCCCGCCACGACAGCTCCGCTCCCGGCCATGGGCAGACTCCCGAGGACAACGATAGCAGCCCAGCTTCCTCCAACCATTATCTCGTCGACATTGCTGGCAGAGATCCTCTTGTTGTACTGGAGCGGCTGTCCCGTTGTCAGTGGGCTCTGCTCCTCACCGTCACCGCTCGGCCGCCGCTTTCCCCCCGCTCCCGTCCGCGTACGGTGGCCCTGCTCTCATTGGCCCCGGCACCGGCGTCCTCATCGGCCATGATCTACCCGCTGCTGGACGGAGGCCGTTGCCATCTCTCACGGGGTCACGGGGGTCACCGCGATACAACGTTCCGTCTCTGCTCCTCCCGCCCACAAGCTGATTTCGCCGCTCCGTCTCCGCGGTGGGCGCGTTCTCTCCGCCGGCTGCCGCTGGTCTCGACCGCCGGCCATCGTCCCTTCCAGCGACGACGCGTCCTGCCCAAGACCGCTTCATTTTCTCCACGGTCAACACGACGTCCGGAGCTTGCGTTGTGTTCGCTCGCCAACCTCCTGCCGTTTCTCAGTGTAATTCCAAGCGTGCGCATCTCCGTGCGCCTCTCCGTGCACCGTTCACATTTTTTGCTCCGTACCCCTTATCGGTGTCTCCGTGCCACCGATCCGTGCACCACAGCGGGTAGGCGACACGCCCCCTCCCCCCGCAGGCACCGAGAGGTGACTCAGCGGTGGCGAAGCGAGCCGCGCGATCGTCGCTTCGACGCTTCCTTCTGACCGCAGACCTTGCGCGTCCACATTGCACTCGCTACGACGCTGCCACCAAGCGCTCGGGCCGCCTGGCCCAGATTGCTGGGTCTCTCTCGATCGTTTTTCCCTCTCCGCGGAGTCGCGTCGCGAGCGCCAGACATTGCCGCTTTGCTGGCGGAGCCCTCGAGTTGGCTTGTAAAGGGCGAGCTTCGAGCGTCTCTCTCTCCGATTCCCGTCACACAACGCCCTCGGATTGCGGAGACGATGGTGGAGATTGCGTCTGCGTCTCCAAGGGCCCCCGCTATCGTCAACAAGCGCGTGCGCGCACGTGCTTAGCCGCGTCGTCCACATTCCTCCCGCTGCCTCCGAGTCCGAGTATACAGTGTGCAATGTGAGCATCGCGCACTGTACTTTTATACAGCTCGTATATGTTGTAATGTAGTCATTTACACGTGGCTGGAAGAGAAACCAATGGAATCATGTTTTTAACCGTAAGAAGAGACAACGGTGGCGTGCTCTTTTAGACCATATTTCTCTTTTAAAAAATTAAACGTCAAAGGGCCCCTGTCTTGGTCGTGAGAACGTGGCTGTTCATCCAATTTTTACGAAAAATATTTCAATTACCAACACCAGGGAAACTCACCCATGCGTTGTGTTTCTGCCTCCCTCTCATCTCACTCTACTCCCCTCCACTCTCCTACTTCCCCTCTTACTTGGCTCATCTACACTCAACTCTCCTCCCTCTCACCTCTCATCTCACTGTCCACCCCTCCTCCACGCTCCCTCTTATCTCTCCCCTCTCACATCTTCACCCCCATGCTACACAAGTTAGAAATGAGTCCACGCCACGACCAAATACACCCAGGGCACCCTTCCCTCATCACTCCGGATCATCTACAGACTTACTCTGCCTTTACTCGAATCATTGATTTGAATCAAAACGTGAATTGCAAATGTGGAAATTGTGCCATCTGGGCACTCACGACCATGCACAGCCCTTGTATCAATCCACTGCTGGATGAGGGCTTCCCCGCACCGTGCGGGTCCTGGGGGTTATTGGACCATACTTCGTCACGCTGGGTGGTGCGGGTTGGTGAAGGCGTCGAGCACAGACGTGGGGGCGTAGAAGTGCAGGACAGCAATGGACTTTGCTGCACTGCCCTTAGTGTTGCCACCATGCCCGGGTGTCTGTGTGTCGGGTGGCAGCAGCAATTGGTGAGTATCGTGATCTTGTGCCGGCGTTGTGTTGGACTTGAGTACAGGAGGCGCCTCGGTTGACTATGGTGGAAAAAATGGCAAGCCGAACCTTCTCCAATGCAGCCACGCAGTAACATATAGCACCTGTTTTGCGCATTGTGGTCACTCAACCAGGGCTGAGCCCTGTTTAACCCGGTTACCCTTGCACACGGGGGGGTAGGTTCCATCTCAAGGGATTATCTCAGAAAACGATGTTTTTCTAAATGAAATAAATAAAAATAGCTTCCGAGGTGTGACGAGCCCGGGCTCGTCCCGGGGTGATTCGGTCGACGGTTCCGCTCGTGCGGCACTCCCCTTGAGCGCGCCGCCGCCGTTGGCCGTGCCACTGGCCGTGTCGCGCGCAGAGCCTGCTGACGGAGATCGAGCGCAAGGTGTCGGTGCTCGGCGCCCTCATCACGCGGAGCGACGCGCTGCTGGAGGAGGTGCGGGCCCGGGCGGGCTCGCGGACCCCTATCCTCGCCGGCGCCGCGGGCGGGGACGGGAACTCGGCGTGCCTCGACTCCACGGTGGCGACGGAGGCGGGAGAATGGGCCGCCCCCAACGACGGCCAACCGATGGACACTGTGTGCGGCCGCGAGCCGGACGGCGACGACGGCGACGACGCCGCCGGGAAGGAGCTCGCGTCCGACGGGCCGGAGAGCGACGTCCGCCCCGCCGAGTCGCCGGGCCGCTGTTGCGATAGCGACCAGGCTACCGTGCAGCACGCGGCGGCGCAGCACGTGGACGCGCAGCGCCTGCGGAGGAGGGCGCACGCCGAGGAGATCTCCGCTCGGCTGCGCACGCTCAAGGGCAGCTTGCTGGGGCTGCAGAAGGTGCTGCTCGACCGGCAGACCATCCTGCAGGTGAGCCCGGAGCGCAGTCGTTCATCGGCCACCTCCATCCAGTTGGCTGAACGGCGTCGTTATTGGGTGACGAACTGCGCGAGTCAATTCTGAGAGTCCACGCGGGCGCTTTTGTATTTATTTTTGGGGGTTTTTCGCGTAAAGATTTTCTTCGCCTGGGTGCACTCGCGGTTAGAGAATAATTTCAGAATCGGGGAACCACCGCGCAATATGCGCCCTAAGACGTCCTGTACGTTACGGGCGCATTACAAATGTAATTTTTTTTTATTGGTCGCGAGTTAAAATTCTGGTCGGGGCTCAACTTGGCCCCTTCATCACTGCGGAGTGGATAAAATCGGCACTACCACGGAACGGGAAGTCGTCGGCGGTTGTTACGGACCGACCCGCTCCCGCCATGGCGATGTGGACTCACCACCACAGGCTCGTGGGCTGTAAATCGCCGATGAGTGCCTGGGCTCTGACTCGACGTTGTTCGGTGAGGACGTGCATGGCGTTGCGTCTCGCAGGGACGGTTAACGCGGCAGGAGGCGGAGGGAGAGGAGAGGGCGTCTCACGTAAACACACCGCGCGCTCTTTTTGTGCTCTCGAACGCGGCCTTCGCGGCAGTGCCGCGCTGCCGCTTGCCTTGCTCGCATCGCTCTCTCTCGCCGCGTGTTTGTTGCTAACCCCTAATTACCGCACAAACAAATCTCCGGGTCACAATAAACAACGCTGTTCAAATTGCGCGGTTACTGAAAGCGCCTTGAGCACATTGCGAGAGAATAAAAAGAGATAATCGCTAACCCCCCCCCCCCGGTCGGTGGGTTGTCGCTGCTCTGCGGATCGTGGCGGTGACATGGGCAGAGCGGTAACGCGTTCACTGCTTGACTCGAGCCCACGGGCGCCCCCGGCTTATTTACCGCGGGTGTGTTCGCCGTGTAAAAAAAACCACGACGTGCCGTCTGGTTCACGGTGAACTTCAAGGATTCCGTGACGCCGATCGAAGAAGAGGAGAGGCCACGTGTGCCCAGGTCATGGTTCAAATTTTCCGAATGTGAATAATTACTCGCACGGTGCTCGACTGGGAAAAACGAAGCGATCATCGCCCCTGTCTGCAAATTCTTGACTCTTTCCTGGTAAAAAAAAAAAAATGTAAACAACAACAATCAATAACAATAATAGCATTAATCAATAATAACATAAAACAATAACGGCGGCTGACGTCCACCCGGGGTTAGATTTGTTGGGGGTGAAAAGTCGCGCTGCCTTCACCATTCGGCGGGTACCCGGAGCGTTCGCTCGCCAGCTGCCGGGGACGGTGCCAGGCTCCGACCTGAGCACCTACGCAGAAGGACCCTTGGAACTCCCCCTCCCCCCCCGCCCGCCCGCCCGCCCGCTGGAGAAACGTCAATCCCGCTCCGCTTAGCCGAGCGGGATTTGGTTCCGGCGCTTTGGCGTCGGCGCGCCACCGAGATGCGGCTCGCGTACGGCACGAGCCGGCACGTCGCCATCGATGTCTCACGGACGTGACGCTGACTGTGCAGATGCGAGCGACGGACCGTCTTGCCGCGAACATTCAGCACGAGAGACGCTTCACGAACATCCCCTTTCGGCGCTGTCTTAATTCAGCCTCACTATCATCAGCCATGGCCAATGCACTGCCGGATGAAAGCCTCCCTAAGCCATCGCTCGCGGTTCTGCGATGTAACGTCGTACATTCAGAAACACATTTTTGTACACTGTCATTTATAAATATCCAGATTGTATGGTGGACAGCGGTGGTCTAGCGCTGAAAGCACTTTACTATGAACCCGACCCCCTAAGTTCGATTCCCGGCCAGGGCTAACGTCTTGGCACTCCCCCCTCCTTCACCAACCCGCGCCGCACGGCATGCTGAATAGTGTGGTCATCCAGGCCCCTGGATTGCCCGGGAACTTGTTGCTGTCTTGCTAAACGACAGACAGTAGAGACTAAAAACAAACGCCGGTCGGGTTACACATCCTGTTGGCCTCCCTGGCGCGTCGTGGTCGCCGCACCTGCACACCCCACCCTGCCCGTGTGTCGCCGCCGCTATTGTTCGCCCGCGGCGTACGAGCCGCAATGCTTTCCTGCTGCCGCTGTTGTGGCGTTACCACCACCACCACCACTCGCTTGCACTGCCCTTCCTACTCCACCGCCCCCCCCCCCCCACCACCACCACCAACCACCACGGCGTGTGCCGGTGTGGTCACAGACGGTGCCAAAAAGCTCGCCCAGTACAGTGTCACCGCGTGAAACGTGGTGACCCTCTTCCAAGTTGGCGTCGTGGTGGCGAGATGTTGACTACCTCGCCTGGTACGCAGGAGGTCCTGGTTTAGATCCCGACCCTGACGCCTGCTGTATATTGGGAGTTTCCATGTCTCTATCCCCGTGGTTGCATGGATTTTTTTTTTATCCGGGTATTCCGGGTTTTTCCTCCACATTTAGAATCAACGTGCGTTTAGATTATTTGGCTGCTATAAATTTCCACACGATAAGCCACTTCGTTGAGCCATCCTTTGTGGCCAGATCACTTCTGGAAAAGAGTTACATAGCTCATTGGGCCTTACCTAGTAAAATAAAAAAGAATAGTTTCAAATAGTTTCATAAAACGAATAGTTTAAAAAAGTTCCATAGTTTAAAGTTTGTTCTGCCGGCTCCGTGTCACCGACACAGGAGCATGTTAGGATTCAGTCCCCGAGAACTTTCTCTTACAGCTTGGGCGATCGCGCAATTTCTATCCGAAATCACGGGCGAAATGAAAAGAGCGCCCTATTGATGCGCGCGGGCGCACGTTATTACGGTGATTGACTCCAGTTTTAGACACGACGAGCTGTTTGTGAGACGGAGTCGATGGTTTGGCAGACGCACGCGGAACTTAAATTCACCATCCCAGCATGGATGAAAAAGTCACAGATGAGTGCGTCGCACAACGTGGTGGTTGGCAAGCGAGCGTGCCTCCCGTACCGGGGAAGGTGGACGATCGATTGATGTACTTTGTCAAAGTAAAATGCCGCTAGGATACAATAATAAAGGGTTATTATGGATAGGCGAAGTGGTTGTGCCTTAAGCTGACAACACACATTATTTCATGTTTGTAATTTATCTAAATGGGATGCACATTGCTGCTTTTGCACAGGGTGTTGGATAACGGCGCGAACCAAACTGTTGAGGCAACCCAGAACCGAACGGAATAAAAACGCGGGCGAAACGGTAAACACGAGACGAGTGTTGATTTTGAATCAAATTGTGGCCCAGAATTGCGATAATCGATCGGCTCTCTGGGGCAGTGAATCGATGGAACCGCTCCGCCCGGAGACCGCCGCACGGCACACAGAGGGCTCCTCGCCCACCGAGCGAACGCCGCTAACGATCTCACTCGCTGTCAGAAGCTACCGATTCATCGTTAGGACGTGTTAAATGGTTTTAGGTTTGATGCGTTGGGTTTGTTTTAATGACCCTTACTCACACATTAACTGTTTTTGTAAGTGCTTGGAGTGTATTTTCCAGCGCATGTTGCTGCGGTCGTATCTTCACGTTCGAAGAATCAATGTTTTTGCGGGTTCACGACCGGTGCATTGACCCCATGAATCTAACGGTCTGAGTTAGATACCCAGCCAAAGCTAACTTCAGTGGTGAGTGACGTCTGAGCTATTCAACCAACCCGCAACGTCCGGCAGGGTGCAGTATGGCACAAATACGCCTTGACTGGCCAGTGAGGGTGGTGCACTCCAAGATTGCTGTGCGCCGCCGTATGCCCCGCTGGTACCGTGCACACGAGACTCTGCCCAGACGCAGTGGGCACGGCTTTGTCTTCTCGGGAGAAAGAGGCAGAGGAGCACTATTGGGGCCGGGCTTCAACGGGTGGCAGGGAGTCGACAGCACGGATGTCTGGGGGAAGGGTAGTTCAAAACCAGGGGTTGGCAGCAAAAATAATAAGAGGAGCCATTTTTTTCAAATTCGGTCAAAAAAAAAAAAGCTCGTTGATTCAAGAGCCACAAAGAATGTGAATATGAGGTGGTGGTGGTCCTTAATAAATAACATCACGAAGCGGTCCTTAAAGAGCCGCATGCGGCTCCGGAACTGCAGGTTGCCGACCCCTGTTCTAGACTAACAGCGCAGCACAGCAGAATGATCGTGTGCGCCCCCCCCCCATCCAATCTTGATCCGGTCCCAGGAGGACCTCGTGCTGGAGGAGTACAGCGAGCGCGTGGAGAGGCTGCCCACGGGCTCGCTGCTGTCCGGCGGGGTTTCCCTCGCGGCCGCCGCCGCCCCTGGTGCCGCCGCCGCCTCCGCCACCGTCGACCACAACTGCAACCGCCAGCCGCAGGTGCCCACTCGCGCCTCCGCCCGTCGGGAACCGGTGAACGCGCCGTGCAGTGCAGTTCAGACTCAAAAGTGTCTGCAGCGAGAGTGACCCGGCTCAACGAGTTGGCGAAGGAACCGGTCTTCCCATCCCGGCGCGATTCACCCACAGCCGAATTGCTCTCGCCGTGTATCTCTGCGACGCGTTTTCGGGTCGTGCCGTCCGGTGCGATGTCCGACGTTTCGCGCCCACGTGCCCGGAGCATCTTTGCTGACAAAGCTCCCGGCACGTGCGCCTCCACAGACGCTCCGTGGCCTCCTGGAGGAGCTGAAGCTTCTCCTGGACGAGGCGGTCTCCGAGCACGAGGCCCTGTCAGCCAGGCTCCGTCAGGCGAGCGGCACGGCCCGGTCAGAGGGCCTGGGGGAGGGCCGCCGAAGGCCCCCGTGGGGCCTCCTGGAGCAGGAGCAGCAGAGCAAGATGAGGGTGCTGGCCGACCTCCTGCACTGCCGCGACATCTCGGGCTCGGTGAGGGGCGGCTCGTTGGCTTGACTTCCCGGGTTGTCTATTTCAGTGGAAAACACCGGTGTACGTGAGGACATTTGCGTTATTATTTTTGTTATCAAGGACTTGAAATACCAAAGCAAGCCTGTGTTGTGCTTTATTAGGCCCTGTGGTTTTCATTTTTAATCGGGGACTTGAGGTGATAATTCCAGTCCCAGTGAGACTCAAGCGAGTTTGTTTGCATCGTGTACAATAGTTCGTATGGAACACCTGGTGTGATTGAGTAAATATCAACAGTGGGAAGACAAAGGTGGCCGGGTCTGGTTACACCACTACCTCGGGGCATCACGCGCACGATTCGCCGCACGTTGCCGTTACGTGTCGGGTGTACAAGTCATCGCTTGTAGCAGCTGACGTTTGCCAGTGGGCTGATGTTTCAGGCAATTACCCTACTTTAAGCGGCCTCCATGAGTGACACGGCATGGGGAAGTTTTGATCCAGCGGTGGAATGACAATGGGCTGTACACTGTTATTGTTGTTGTTATTATTCTATTATTGCACATGATGGCAGCAGCAAAATGTGCAGGAGCTAAATTCCAGTGTCGAGGTCTGCTCGCCACGATGAGCAGCCTTCAGGAGAGAGTTAATTCCTCTATGGAAGCAGCGCAGACTGCTCCTTCACCAGAGGTGTACCGTACTACGGTACCGTATGGTAAGCCCACTGTGGTCTCTTCTTCTTCAACGGATGTGTACCATACTATGGTACCGTATGGTAAACCCACTGTGGTCTCTTCTCCTTCAACGGAGGTGTACCGTACTACGGTACCGTATGGTAAACCCACTGTGGTCTCTTCTCCTTCAACGGAGGTGTACCGTACTATGGTACCATATGGTAAACCCACTGTGGTCTTTGCTCCTTCAAGGGAGGTGTACCGTACTACGGTACCGTATGGTGAATCCACTGTGGTCTCTGCTCCTTCAAGGGAGGTGTACCGTTCTACCGTACCGTATGGTGAACCCACTGTGGTCTCTTCTCCTTCAAGGGAGGTGTACCGTACTACGGTACCGTATGGTAAACCCACTGTGGTCTGCGCTCTTTCACCAGAGGAGCAGGAGCCCGTATTGCTGGGAGCGTGTGCCTTGGCTGGCGAGAGCAGGCCATATTGATCCGATGTCACCGCTGTGTAGCGGCCTACGTGAGCAGCACCGTAACGACGCCCTCCCTCCCGCCAGCCGACATCGCTGAGCGGCGCGGCACGTAATTATTCGAGTAAAATATATATAAGTGGTCCTTGGCGCCGTGTAATTTGACATTAAAGGCCGCGGGTGAGATTACATAACGGAGTTGGGGGGGGGGGTGCGGATGGCGATTAATTTGGCGCTGATAGGACTGGCGAAGGTGCGTGTGGCGGTAATGCGTGTGCCGAATAGGGAGTTGGTTGGAGCTGACAGGAGAGTGATTAGGATGCTAATTGGATCAAGCAGCAGGACATGTCAGTGGGATAGACTCGCTAATGACGAGATTAGTCGGCCGTTGTGTGCAGGGGTTTAGTGCCTGCCCTTTAACGAACCCCACCGCCAGTCACCGACTGACGGACCGCCACGCGCTACGCTTCTGGAGTTTGCATTTCTAACATTTTTAAGTAACGTGAATCTCCGTTCCACGTGGGAGACTTCACTTGAAACAACGGTCACGCCTTCTTCTGCTGAAACCTCATCACGCCACGCCGAAAGTGACGGGAATGTGCACCTTAGGAATGAGAGAATTTCCACCCCTGTCACCCAACTTAGACGATAACAACCGAAGTCCAGCAGAGTGGCTGGACACGCGCACACATCTTGTCCGAGCACAGTTATGATCTAGGCAATGCGGGCTTACGTTTCACTGGTGGCGGCAGGCCAAAGGTAACCATGGAGACGAGCATGCCGTGCTGGTGCAGCTGGCCGTGCTCCCCGAGGGCCGTGCTCGTTGCACAGCTGCTGCTGCTGCTGCTCTTGCTCGTCGGAGGAAGGAGACTGACATTTCTCTAACCGACTGTGCGGAGAGGGACGCGCGTGCTGGGAATTCCACTGAGGGTTGAGGGATGAGGAGCGCACGGTCGCTCGTGCTGGAACGGATGATGGCTGATGGGCAGGACTGGCGATTGAATGGCAGCCAAGGGAGAGAATCCACTTTGGAGGATGACCACAATGGAGATGAGAAACGTCTGTGTGCGTGTGTGGAGCAGCGGTGCGATGCTTAGTGCACCGGGGTACGGGGCCAGCAATTTGAGTTCAGTCGTCAGCAATGGCTCGTGTCGGTGCCATTAGTGGCGATCGCTATCTGAATCCCAGGCCTTCCCTGAGCTGAATGAAATAGCTGGCTCGGTGTGCAAGCATCAGCACTGGGGAGACAAGAGAGGCTGGACTTGGCATTGGTCGCGCCGCTCACTCGTGCAACCGCGCTGGCCTTAATAGGCGCTCGCGAACAGCACCTGCCCCGACAGTCCATACGGCCACGTCGCGATTGTGGCATCGGCGGGGCCGCGAGCGAGGGGCGGCGAGGCCTTCGTCCAGCAGCGCACGACGGCCGTGACGGCCGATGAAGACGAGTACCGATTTTACCCCCCCCCCGCAGGTGCCGCTCGCCTCGATGTCGCCGCTGGAGGAGGCGTGGGGGCCGGGTCGGCCTCCGCCGGCTCCCCGCGTGGCGGCGGTGGCGCCGCGGGCGGCAGCGAGGCTCGGACGCTCGGCCGGGGGGGGCGTCGGCGACGGAGAGGTGAAGCGTGGCGGCCCCTCGCCATCGCGCCCTCACCCGCTATTCACCCCTCCCGCTCATCCTTGATCGGCACGCAACCATTTGCCTTCTCTCACTCCCCCACTAAAAGTTCGATGAATTGTCACCATTGGCTTCCAGCAGCCCCGTTGGGTGGAAGGGGTGACGGGGGGGGGACTGGAAGGGGCTGACCTCCCCCCCCCACCCCCCTCACTGAATTCCTGTCATAAATTCCCGCACCTCCGATTAGCACGGTTGGCTACGTACTGTGCGGAATAAGTTCAACGTGCACACAGACGTCCAACAACATTAGCTGCTGCTGCTGCTGATTCTCATCCCAGGTGCAGAACGGTGTTGAGCACCATGGGGAGGGAACGGTGGAGGAAGAGGTGGAGGAAGACGGTGACGAGGAGCGGGGGGAGGAGGAGGAGGAGGGGGGGGAGAGGCCACGTGACCCCGAGTGGAAGCGCTTCTCCGTGCTGCGGGCAGCGTCGCGCCGACTCGACGCCGTGGAGGAGGCGCTCCTCCTGCCCTGGGCGGACGGCGACGAGGAGCGGGAGGCGCGGCTGGAGGAAGAGGAGGTGACGATTCCGCGAGGGGCACAGTTGTTGTACGGTTTACGCACCGGAGTGAAATTGGACAACGACGATGATGATGATGATGATCCTCATGATGACAGCACTAATTATGATGATGATGATGATGACAGTAATGATGATGATTATAATGATGATGTAGAGGTTGGTTATATTTATTGTAGTGATTATGACAAGGTTGATGATGATGATGATCATAAAACAATGTTGTTGGTAACATTGAAGATACGATTTTTGATGATGATGATGATGATGAAAAGATTGACGATGATTCGAAGGTTCACGTTGCTGATGCACGGTTGATGATTGCGGCGATGATGATGATCATGCAGACGACGAAACAGAGAACGGCCGTAGTAATAATAACGATAGCAACGTTGCTCGCGACGAGCGGCCTAACAACGGCAAGCGTGCTACCGAGCCGCACGGCGGCGGTCCTCGCCTCACTCCGACCTCCGCCCCCGTGTGCGCCGGCCCTCGGCCACGGCAGGAGCTGTGCGTCCACCTGGCGGAGTTGGACCGCGAGTTGCGCCACCGCTCGTGGGAGGACGATGCGGCGAGCGAGCCGGGCCCGGGCGACGCTACCGCCACCGCCGCCGCTGCCACGCGGAGGGGCGTGCAGCTGCGGCTGGGCGCCCTGGAGGCCGCCTTGCGGGCCAGCTGCTCGGCCCTCAGGGACGGGATATCCAGAGTCGCCGAGCACCAGGTGCCAAGGCCACTTCGTCATCATTACCGTGATCATCATCATCACCATCGTCGTCATCATTTCATCACCGTCATCATCATCATTGCCATCATCATCACCGTCGTCATCATCATCATCACAGTCATCACCATCATCATTCCAATTTTTTAACAGCAGCTACTGATTAGCACGGTTGGCTACATGTACATACAGTGGGAAAGAAGGTCAACATACATACAGCAGCAGCAGCTGATCGACGTGACCCCGAGATCTCACGCGGGTCACGACGCGCACTCTGACGTGGCTGGGATGACGACTCCAACCTCGCAATTGGCGAGGAGCACCTCGCGGACTCCTCCAGTGAAACCGGCGCGAGCCTCCTTCTCGACACGTCAACAGGCGCACTCGCCGTGCACGGACAAAGGGGAAGCCACTGGGATGGAAGTGACTCACTCGGAGCCCAGCAGAGACCGGGGTTCCATTTGTTCGCAAAGGACAGATAGCCCCTGTGATGTTGCTTGCGATCAACGACTCGCCTTTGCTGGCATGACAAACACACCGGTAGATGGCAGGTTTTCACAGCAGGTTTCACTATTATATTTTTTGAAGGGCTGATGATGATGATGATACGGTGACAGTGCGGAGCGTGTCTCCGTGCGGTGACGGTGTGGTGCGTTTATCCGTGTCTGTGCTGCAGAGGGAGGTGGCGGCGCTGCAGAACGCCGTGTCGAGCGAGCGGCGCTCCTTTCAGCGCAAGCTCCAGCACTGCGCTGACCACAGCCCCACTCAGCAACTGGAGGCATGCGGCTGCACCACAGCGGCGCACGCTGAAGGCGGCGATGCGCGAGGGCGCTCCCTTTCCTTCTCTCTCCATATTTATCCCGAGTGTGCGTTTGGCGTCACGTCGCTATAGAGAAGCCATTCAAAACGTTCACAGGAGTGCCGTGAGGCCACGTGATGCGTGCAAGGTGCACTGACAGGCGATCATGGGACCCAGGTGTTACGGGCTAACTGACCGACATGACTGGCAGATGCGCCATCTGTGTTCCCCGCTGCACCTACTTGCTGTATTTTAGCCGACCGATGCTCCGCTCGTTGTTGTGAGCATTGCTCCTCCGCCCTCCATTGTTGCTGGAGGGCGACTACCTCCGACTGCCCAGTGGCGTCCTTCACAAGCCTCTTCCAAAGACAAAGATCCCCCACGTAGCCCTTTGGGGGCAAGTGCTGCGGAGCCTCCTGTACACGCGCGCCGTGTGCCAGACGGCGCAACCACCGTGTGGCACTGACACGGTCACACTTGCCTCTCCGCCAGGTGCTCAGAGAGGTGGCGCGGTCCCTGGACAGCCTGAGAAGCCAAGCGGCGCCGCTCCGGCAGCGCCAGCTCGAAGCAAAGCCCACGTCTCCCGCGGGCACCGACCTGGCGCGCATCGAGGTTGGTGCTCGGGAGGCCCCCAGTCCTGGTTTCCCCACCATCGTCCTCTTGTCATCCTATTGAGGGAGGTAGCTGCCCTGGGGAGTCTCTAAATCTCCCCACTGTGTCTCCCTTTTTCTCCATCTCCCTTTCTCACAGCGCACACTGCCTTATAGCCTCATGGGACACCGTGTTTCCTTGTCTCTCCGTCTCACAGTCCCATGGGACACCGTGTCTCCTTGTGTCTCCGTCTCACAGTCCCATGGGACACCGTGTCTCCTTGTCTCTCCGTCTCACAGTCCCATGGGACACCGTGTCTCCTTGTCTCTCCGTCTCACAGTCCCATGGGACACCGCGTCTCCTTGTCTCTCCGTCTCACAGTCCCATGGGACACCGCGTCTCCTTGTCTCTCCGTCTCACAGTCCCATGGGATACCGTGTCTCCTTGTCTCTCCGTCTCACAGTCCCATGGGACACCGTGTCTCCTTGTCTCTCCGTCTCACAGTCCCATGGGACACCGTGTCTCCTTGTCTCTCCGTCTCACAGTCCCATGGGACACCGTGTCTCCTTGTCTCTCCATCTCACAGTCCCATGGGACACCGTGTCTCCTTGTCTCTCCGTATCACAGTCCCATGGGACACCGCGTCTCCTTGTCTCTCCGTCTCACAGTTCCATGGGACACCGCGTCTCCTTGTCTCTCCTTCTCACAGTCCCATGGGACACCGTGTCTCCTTGTCTCTCCGTCTCACAGTCCCATGGGACACCGCGTCTCCTTGTCTCTCCGTCTCACAGTTCCATGGGACACCGTGTCTCCTTGTCTCTCCGTCTCACAGTCCAATGGGACACCGCGTCTCCTTGTCTCTCCATCTCACAGTCCCATGGGACACCGTGTCTCCTTGTCTCTCCATCTTAAAGTCCCATGGGACACCGTGTCTCCTTGTCTCTCCGTCTCACAGTCCCATGGGACACCGCGTCTCCTTGTCTCTCCATCTCACAGTCCCATGGGACACCGTGTCTCCTTGTCTCTCCGTCTCACAGTCCCATGGGACACCGTGTCTCCTTGTCCCGCAGCACATGCTCGAGACGCTGGAGGAGGACGTTCACGGGCGGCGGCACGCCCTGACGCGCGCTTGCGCCGCCGACCGGCGCTACGAGCAGGAGCTGCGGGCGCTGCTGATGCTCGCGCGTCTCGCGGACGAGCGGCTCCTCTCCGCTCCCCGGCTGCTGCTCGCCGCCGCAGACCTCGAGCAAGCGGAGCAGCAGTGTCTGGCCCTGCAGGTGCGTTGCCTTTGTTTGGAGCCAACGCATTTCTGGGAGGCTCAACGAGGACGCGTGGTGAGATGGGCATGAGACTCGGAAAATGTCAATCGGAATAAGATTATTATTTTCGCAAATGCTGTGGGACGCTGGGTAAAGCTTTACTGGAACCCGGGCTGCCCCAGCCAAACCATGACGTCTGGTATCGGTAGATATATATACTGTATATATACAGTGCATATATACTGTATATACGTGTAGTGTTGACGTGAAGTGGCGTGGTGAGCGCACGTGACGCAGCTGCTCCTCCGTGAGGGTCGGTAACGTGGCGTCGCCACCTCCGCGCAGGAGTTCTTCCGCCGGCTGGAGGAGCGGCGCTTCGCGGTGGAGGAGTGGGCGCGCCGGGCGTCGGGGCGCCGCGATGCCGTGTGGACGCGGCTGCAGGCGCGCCTCGACGAGCAGCAGGAGAGCCTCCGGGCCGGGGTCGCCGATCAGCGCTGGATCATCCAGGTGCGGGAACCTCTCGTTACGACCGCATTTGTATTTCCCTCGATCCAGCACAACGGCTCACCATTCGCCCTGTGTCCCCGCTGCCCCGCTGGCCCTCGTCAGGCGTGGCAGCAGCTGGAGCGGGAGCACGAGGATCTGAGCCGGCAGCTGGAGCACGCCGAGGGCTCCATGGTGGCCCGCGGGGTGGTGGAGGAGTCGGAGGAGTGGCTGTCAGACCGCATCGCCGCTCTCCTGGTGAGCATTGGAAAGATGCGGCAACGACGGTACTCAAAAGCCACTTGCTGTCCTGCCATCTTACGCTCACTTTTGCGCAGCCCGGCGAGTTTGTGGGTCTCACGGATCGCTGTGCGGTCCGTGAGACCACCACGCCCGGCTCGTTCCCTTCCCAGCGTAAATTCCCTCGCGCATCTCTCCTCCTCCTCGCTCGGTCATCGCCCCCCGCGCAGAGACTGCGGTCGCACCTGGACGAGCACCTACCCCGGGTCTCCCAGCTGCTGGCGGACGGCAAGCGGCTGCACGGCCTCCTGATGGCGCGGCTCAGCTCGGCCGACGAGGCCGCGCGGGCCGGGCGCGACGACGGCGAGGGCCCGCGGGTGACGACGAGCGGCGCGGGCGGGGATCCTGCCGAGCCGACCCTCCGGATTTCCGGCGAAGGCGAAAGGTCGCCGGCCGCCCCTGCGTCGGACGGCGGCGCCGAGGGGCGCTCGGCGCCACAAGGCGAGCCGGGAGACGGGGCTCCGCGGCCGACGGCTCTCGCGCTGGGCCTCGCTGCCGGGCCGGGCCTGACATGCCACCTCGAGGGCTTCGGCCAGCGCTGGGCGGACTGCGGCGGCCGCCTGGGCGCGGAGCTGCGTCGGCTCCAGGCCCTGCTGGCGCACCTGGCGCGGTACGACGATCTCGAGTCCGTGCTGCGCTCGCCGTAAGGCCGCGGCGGCATCTGGGAGGGGACGACCGTCACGACGCCGTTGTTAACGCGCCGCTTCCGCTCGTTTGTCCTCACCCGCCGACCTCCGTTCGCCCCGAAGGTTTCGCCGCGAGTGCACGGAGCTGCTGCTGTGGCTCGCCGAGTCGCGGGGCAAGCTGGACTACTGGAGCAACCAGGCTGACACGGTGGCTCACGAGCCGTCCACGGCCCAGGAGCTCTTCCATCGGTTCATGGTGAGGACGCGGGTCAGGTGACGCCGCGAGGGTTCGGGCTGTTGGAGTCCAGTTTGTGTGATCGGGTGAGAACTCGAGAGACCAGGATGGAGGAGTCTCATTTGCAAGATTGACCTGGGTTACTCAAGATTGCTGAAAAGCCAGCTCGCTGAGCAGAGTGAAGGGAATGAGACCCAAAGTGTTTTGGCCAAGGCAAGAGATCATTCGGCTTGGCAACAGGCGCTGAACCACAGGCCCACCGGCCAACAACGCAAAAATAGCCAGCGATCGAGGGCTCTCATGTCGCTCCATGGCAGATAAGTGCTCGTGTGTTTCACAGGGACAGCTGCCATTAGGGGGTCTCCAAGGCTATTAAAAAAATACTTCTGAGACGTTTATTACATTGCGATCTTTTTGTCCGTCCAAGGATGGATGTACAGTAAGACCTTGGATTGCGAGTAACTTGGTCTGCGAGTGTTTTGCAAGACGAGCAAAATTTTTAAATTAATAATAATTTGATAAACGAGCGAGGTCTTGCAATACGAGTAGCGTACGTGTACGCTTTGTCTGCCGAGCGTCACGTGATCACAACTGATATACGAGTGCTTTGATGTACGAGTGCTTTGGATTACAATCACGTTTCCGGAACGAATTATGCTCGCAATCCAAGGTTTTACTATATATTGCAGTAAATATGAAATAGAAAAATTGTTCAGCTCATGAATATTAATGAGGGAGGGGTTGCCCCATGTCGAGTGACGTCACCCCCTCATGGTTATTGTGGAGGGGTGCGGCATGTGGAGTGACGTCACCCCCTCATGGTTATTGTGGAGGGGTGCGGCATGTGGAGTGACGTCACGTGCGGGACACACACATTCTTGGCTTGTTATAGTAGTAATGAGTGCAATATAAATGCTGTTGTTGGAATTGTTGTTGTGAATGGAGCAAGGTTACAGGGATTTGGGTGACGAGGGTTTGTTTACCAAGAGGTAGGAGGGAGGGGCTGCTGCCTCGCCACCACGTGTCCCGGTTGAGCCTCACCGAAATTCGGTCGCTGTACCCGTGCGCGTGCGTGTGTGTGCGCGTGCGTGTGTGTGCGTGTGTGTGTGTGCGCATGCGTGTGTGCGTGCGTGCGGCGCTACTGCCCGTCCCGCCAGGCGTTTGTGCACGAGGCCAACGTGAAGGTGTCCCTCAAGGCGGCGGTGGTGGCGGGCGGCACCCGACTGCTGCAGCTGCAGCAGGGCGAGGCGACGGCGCCGAGGACGCAGTTGGCGCAGCTGGAGACGGCGTGGGCCGAGCTGACGGCGCGCGTGCCGCTCGTGCAGGAGCGCCTGCACCAGGTGGCCGGCGCCCGCGTCCCCCCGCACGCGGCAGTCGCGCCCCCTCGCCGCGTCGTTACCGGCGGTGCCGCTGCCGCCGTCATTGTTGTGCCCAGTGACGGCAGCGGCAGCCACTTCTGAGTCATCGTCGTCGCTGTCTTCGGCAACAGCATCTTAAGTTTCACGAAGAATCCGTTGCCGTGCTGCTGTCTTCAGGCCACCTCGCAGCCAGCCCCCAACCCTATGGCACACGCCCGCATTGGCAAGCGGCCCTCCACGCAGGCACCGACCACGCTGGCAGTGTCAAGTCCGCATCTTGTATCGGGGTGGGATAACTGGATTCCTCCACCCAGGAACTAACGAAGCCAGGGAAATTCCCCCCCCCCCCCCATGAAATCGCGCTGTGACAGCAACGGTAGCAGTGGATGCACCATCGTCCATGTAGAAGGGAGGCCGAGCCTCCAGCAGGGAAGGGGGAAGGGGGAGGCTCGGCCCCCCTTGACGCTCCGGGGCTGACGCGAGCCGTGCGTGTCTCCGCAGGCGTTGGTGGCGTGCCGCCCGTCGTGCCAAGCCATGGCGGAGCTCCTGGACTGGGTGGACGAGGTGGAGCGGAGGCTCGCGAGCGACGGAGACAAACTCTCCGGCCTGGTCGGCGCGGCGCCGCTCAGGGTTCTGCTCGACGAGTACAAGGTACCGACCGCCGTCGAGCCGCGCGTCGTCCGGCACGGAGTCCCGGCCGCTCCGCACCGCGTGCCCGGCAGCCTGGGTCCCCGCGTGCGGAGCGTGCTGGGAGCTCGTAGTTCACCTGAACGAATTGCCGTCCTCGCAGACACGTGTGTCGGCAATCTCGTTCCGCCGTCGCTCATCCGACAAGCGCAGGGCGTTGCGAAGTTCTCTTCTGCATGGAGTGACAACGGGAGTAGGACGCGAGCACACGCCGGAGAGCAGAGCACAAAGAGTTCCTAACGCGAGCCCGCACGAGGCCGTCCGTGACGGGTGCCTGTGAACGCACGCGTGCATACCAGACGGTGCCTGATGGGTCCACTTCCTCATCTAATTACTTTTATTTCTTGCTGTGATTGCCAGCGTGAAAAAGGCCTCCAGCCTACCCACCTGACAACCCCCTCCAGATGCCTCCATCATCCCCTCCGTGAGCCCACGTCAGCGCGGACCTTGAAGTTAATCCGGCGGCACAAATCCCAGGCACAGACCGCTTCGTCAGATGAAGCCCTCTCACTCGGCCGTCGCGGTTCTGCATATTTTTCATCAGCGTCGCTTCAAATCCCATTACGCCTCTGAGACGAGAAGCGAGTGCGCGTGTGCGTGAGCGAGCGAGCGTACAGCAGCCGTTGAGCACTGATAGCCGAGCGCTCGCGCTGCCAGCGGCAGAGCTGTGCCTGCGCGATCGCTGCTTCTGGCAGCGCCGCTGGTATGGTTCGATACAATAGTTTCATCCTCGTCATCAGACATGGTCAGTCCACTGCTGGATGGAAGTCTCCCTAAGTAGACGCCACATCCCAAGCCGACGCCACATCTCAATAATCCGCCCAGCGCAAGCTGCACACGGAGAGCTGATTTCATCGCTGAATGATCATCCTCGCAGCCACATTCGCCACCAACAATCCCATTCTGTTCTTCCTCGTCTTGTCAATCACACGGCCGGTTTTCAATAGAGATATAAACAAAATTGTAAAGATAAAATGCCCGGGTTTTTTTTCTTACGTGTTCTCTGCAATTCTCTTGTTTGAGCCATTCTGAGAAACCTGTCGCCTCTGCTATGTGAGGGTTATGAATGGATCTGCAGCACATGACACGACCAGGATTACAGTTGGGGTAGAGGCCGACGTTTTGTGGAACCCACCAGACAACGAATCCGGGAGTCTGTTGCGCACGATTAAAGCAAGCTCTCTCTAGGAGAGAATGAGTTCATAATAAAGGTTCTTGGGTTGCGTCGTAACCTTGCACCACCTGACACAGCCAGTAAGGTTCAGTGATGACGTCATCATCCTGCTATATTTAAGACCGGAAGCAGGTGGATTGCTTCACTATTCTGGCAAAATCGCCCGACGATGCTGGATGTAATTACCAGCGAAATGTCACGGTACTGAAATTGTAAATGTTGTGGATTTATTTTCCAACACACCGGTTGGCTGAAGTAGTTACTAATTGGTGCGTTGATTACTTACGCGACATAACCCAAAAACCTTTATTATGAATAATATTTGTCGTGAAAGCATACATGTTAAACTGAGAATGAGTTGATGATGGTCTCAACCCAGGCACCAATTATTGTGCGAAACATTCATCACACTAAATGTGGTTATTACCTCATTTGGCAACGTTCCAGCTCTGAGAATGAAATAAGACTTCACGTCAACGCGTGGTGAACATCGCTGTCGCAGGACGCATGCAGAAGTGCAGTGCCTCTTGAAGGGATCTCGGAAGTAGTTCTGCAATATACACTTCAGAAGGCCGTTCTCTCACATGGCTTGATGAGTGGCTCCACAAGAAATTGATACTTCTACTATGGGGGGAAAAAAAAACACAAAAATAAAGAATACGGAATCACTTGTGACAGGATCAAGCACTGCAAGGATTTCTCTGCGGACCTCCTGTTCCCACCCACGGCCACTTGTGGCCTGTGAGAGCCCGAGGGAGGCTCAATCGGCCACGTCTCGTGGCGTGACTCCTGGACCATCTGCTCAGTGCTAGCCGCTGTGCGTGACCAAGCGCAGGTGTTTGGGGAGTGGGAGTGCAGTGGTTAGTGCATCGCGCTACGAACCAAGCGAACCGAGTTTAATCCCCGCTCAATAACAGTGGCGATATTTCTGGGCCTCCCCTAGGGTGACTCAGCCTTGAATGAGTACCTCGTCCAGTGTGTAAACATCAGCACTGGGGAGACAAAGGTGACCGGGCGTGCCGTTGGCCGCCCACCCCCTTGTGCGCCGTGCCGACTTTAATAGGTGCTCGCTAACAGCACTCGCCCCAACGGTCTGCTCGTGCACCTTGTGCGTGACGACGCAGGGCTTGACGCTGGACACGCAGGCGCGCCAGCCCCTTGTGGACAGCGTGAGCCAGGCGCTGCTGCAGCAGCAGCAGGGCGCAGCGCACGTGCAGGCGCGGCGGCGCGAGAAGCTGCAGCTGGCCGAGAGCGTGGGCGTGCTGGACCGGCGCTGGCAGGCGCTGCTCGGCCGCCTGGCCACCACGGTGGGTGGCGCCGACAGGGCGCGTGCGTTGACGGCGGCGGCGGCGGCGGTGGTGGTGGTATTGGGTCAGTGGCCCAGAAGTCCCATTGACGAACGGGACTCGGGTGTCAGTTTACGCGCACGTGGTCACACGCGTTCAAATGGTTTTGTGTACGGCGGGAAGTCGACCGGCAGCGTTCCTCTGCTCGTGTGGAGGTCGCTGAGCGAGCCGGTGGACGACTTCAGGAGGAGTGGCCCGAGCGAACATCTGAAACGCTGCCAGGGAATGATCGATGGTCCGTAGTTTTGAGATGTGCATGTTTGTATGTATGCACGTTGACCTTTTTTTTGCACCGTATGTGGACTCAAATGGACATGTATAGGCTTCCATAGACACCCATCGACTCGCACAGACACCCATCGACTCGCACAGAGACTCGCAGGCGAACGATCGACGGGGGCGGCGTCGTGACGACGGTTCGTCGCTCGGAGCGCGTCGAGGGTCGTGCGTGACCGTCTGCGCCGTGTGCCGGCGCAGGCGGAGAAGCTGGAGACGCGGCTGGAGGCCTGGACGGAGTGGGAGGCGCTGGCGCGCTCCGTGCGCGACTGGCTGGAGGCGCAGGCCGTGGGGCGACTGGCGGCGCTGCGGCAGTGCCGGGGTGGCGGAGCTACGGCGGCTCTCGCGCTCGCCGCGTGCTCGGTGAGGCCGCCGCGTGCCGCTCGAGCCGCCGTCTTGGTCGACCATGGCCCCGTTGGAGAACACAACGAGGCTCCGTTAGCTTAACGGATAACAGGCACAGCTGGTCGTAGTTAATAATAACGGCAGTTAAAAACTATTGGCGGCTATGAGAGGACAGTCGCGAAACAAAAAATCAGTTGTGAACGAGGTTTGTTTTGAATGTGCATCATTGGACATGATTGTTTAATATTAAATTGTAATATTATGAGAATAGGTTTTCCCCTTTTTTCTGGCAATAAAACAGGTGTTAAGATGGCAAAGGAGGTCCCAGGTTGTAATATTATGTTATTCACTCATGACAGCTCGTCACATCGAAGTTTAAACTGACACTGAAATGTCTGGGGAAAGCACCACAGCCGGTTGTTAAATGAGTAACACTGTAATCACACAGCCACGTGCAGATGCAATAACACTCCCAGAAGGCCATTTAACTCATGGGATGAGTAAAATATACTTTTTACTTTTGCTGCCAATATCAGCGCAGATCCGCCCACGGTGAGCGGTAAGACGTGTCGTGCTGCGCTCGTCAGGAATTGCAGGACAAGCTGAAGGCGCAAGTGGAAGAGGTCGACAAGCTGGAGGTGTGTGGCGGCTCCGTGGTGCCGGCCGACGGGACGTCCCCCGGCGGTCTCGTCTCAGAGACTTTGCGCGAGCTGCGGGCGTCGTGCAGCCGGGTGCAGCAGGAGGTGCGTTGCCACCACCGCCACCGCCAGCTGCTGCTGCTGCGCTAACACGCACCACAAGAATAGCCAGCGCTAACAGTCACCGAGGGCAGTTGACGTAGAGGCAGCTCGACGGCGTTCATGATGATGCAAGAGAGGACCGAGACCATCGCTACCAGCAGCAGCAGCGGCGGCGGCAGCAGCCATGATCAATTCACTGCTGGAGGGAAGCCTCTCCAAGCTGTCGACTGTCATGGTCTCGTAGCGTAACGATCCTCCTAGCTTCCGCACACCGGCTGCTTGCGTGACTCCACCTGCCACGCCATCGTGAGTCTCGACTGCTGTTGTCCCCTTCGACAACGAGGCCTTTCCGTGCCAACTCACGCTTCTCAACACGCAACAGATTATTTCAAAGCCTCTGCATGTCTCCCATCAATCGCAGAGCACTTAGTACGCCATTTAACACTCCCCTGACACACGTTGCCCAACGGCGCCTGTCTTGATTCACAACGCCCGATCGCACCTGTCCGAGTAAATAAATAATGGGGTCAGTGGAAACCAGTGGGGTATCTATAAGCGGATCGCCCTGTGTTTGTCCACCAGCTGTCGCGGGTCGTGGAGCAGCAGCGGGAGCTCGTGGAGGCGTGGGGGAGCCGGGACGCGGCACACGAGGCCGTGAACCGGGCCTTGTGGGAGGCCTGGCATGGCCTCAGCAGGGCCAGTGTCCTCACGGGGTCTGCTCAGGCTGCCCAACGGCAGACGAGCATCCTGCAGGTGCGTGTGCAGCACGACGGCTTGTATGTATGTTTGTTCAACTTCTTTAACACCGTACGTAGCCAACCGTGCTAATCGGAGGTGCGGGGGAAGGACAACAAACTAAAGTTTGGCTTTCGGACACCAAATGAACCGCTGTCCGGGCGAGTTGTCGGAATTTAACCATCCACCCACCTATCCATCCACTCCTCCTCCGCCCCACCACCGTCTTCCGTTCTGTCCCATGATTAGTTGAATTGTCACGATTCAGGGTTTACAGCTGTATTGATAAATAATTGTCCATGTTGTCTCATTTGTACAGTCTGCCTTGGGCACATTCCGCATGATGTGGTCGTGATTCATAAATAAACTCGACCTCGGTGACCCCGTGACCCCCATGACCTGCGCTTGAGCTCAGCGAGGCCTCTTCGCTCGTCCTTGGCAGCATTTGCAGGGAGAGGGCGAGCGCAGGGCGGAGCTGCTGCTGGAGCTGGTGGGGGCGACGGGGCGGCTCTGCTCCGCGTGTCACCCGGTGCTGCACGCGCGCCTCTCACGGGGCCTGGACGATGCGAGGAGGAGGTAAGCGGCGTTCGCTCACGCTTGCGCTCGCGCGTTTAAAAGCGCCGTTCTTGAGTAGCCGCTCGTAGATCGGTCAGCGGGCCGCAGTTACGCAGAGCTCCGAGGACTTAACGGCGAACCGCACGGTGGTATGACGGCCAATCGGTGAGCGAGCACCTGTGGTGGTGGTGGTGTGGTTGGTGAAACGAGGTGCAATCTGGGTGAATCGGTCATAGTACAACGGAATAATCCTACTGCAGCTATTGGGGCGGAAGGGTGGTGCAGGTGGTGGCACCCGTACCTCACAGCCTAAGACTGCTTTTTTTTATTCCCAACTTGAGCGCCTGTCTCTGCAGAGTTTGTAAGTTCTCCCCCTGTTCTGCATGGGTTTCCTCTGGGTTCTCCAGTTTCCTCCCATAGCTAAAAACAACGCACACACAATGTAGCGAGTATTGGCCAAAAAAACATATCCCGATGCTGAAACATAACCTGCACATCACTCACTTGGGATCCAACACGGCAGCCACATCACCCCCTGCAGCAAAACACTTGTTAGGACCCTTCTGACACTGAGGCTTTGTTAGGTAAAAACCACGAGTATAGTTGTTGTTGTGGCAAGATATTAACTACCTCGTCCGGTATGGAGGAGGTTGTGGGTTTGATCCCGACCCTGACGCCTGTTGTATATTTGGAGTTTTTTTTCCCTCCACATTTAGAAACATGCGTTTCGTATATATGTGCAATAATTGGCTCCGACACGGTACGTAACTTCAAGGTAATTTTTAAATCTTCGGCACAGCCACCTCTCTCTCCGCGGATGTCGACCCACTCTCGTGGCTGCGCTGCCCCGCGCCACGTGGCGCTGACCCCGCTCGCTAACGCACCGCTGGCTGGCGGCGCGCTATGGCGCGACTGGAGGTGGAGCTGCCACGTGGCAGGTGGAGATGGCGGGGAGCTCCTCTTCGAACTTCATGCACCGACCCCTAACGTTGTTGTACCCCCTGCTTATATTCACTCCTCGGAGGCTAAGCCCCGCCTCTGGCCACGCCCCTCCTGGAACCCTCGAGAACGTTCCAGAGGCTTCCCTGCGAGATCCGCCTATTCACCTTTCCCCCCAGACAGAATCCCGACTATAGATAATACGTGGACTGTATCAATCTGTAAATGTAACCCCCACAATAATGCAGCAGATGGCGCTCTCTTATTACATACGAGCTTTACTACCCGGCTTCGCCCGGGACTTGGATTCACCACGCCCGGCCGCCTTTGTCTATCCCGCGGTGGCGATGTTCACACACCACACCAGTTACTCGTTTGAGGCTGAGTCGACCCAGGGGAGGCCCAGGACCGGTTCAATTAATCGTCACCGGTGGTGGTCGTGAGCGGGAATCGAATTGGGTCGCCGGGTTCGTAGCGCAGCGCGCTAACCGCTACACTACCGCTCCCCCCACACACACACACGCGCGCGTCCATAGGTACACATACACGCGCTTGCCACAGACACACACAACTTTCAGGGTGCGCACGGCAGTAAACGACTGAAATAATAAAGCAATGCTGCGCGAAAAACATCTTAGACCAGCAAAACATTTGTATTTCACTTTACCCGTGATCAATAGGCACACTCCGTTACGCTTCCGCATATGGGTGACATGACAGATGTGACGTCACAGCTCACTTGCCGTGCAAAATAAATGCATTCTTGCGCCCCCCCCCCCCCAAAAAAAAAGTATATAACAAAAGTCTATTTTTATAATTTTTGTATGGTGTACAGTCTGGAAAGTACCCACATGGCAAATTTCAAGTTTGTTGCATGTCGGGAAGTACGCTAAACATTTTGAACAGACACACATATTCACAACTTTGCCTTTTATATATATAGATGTATTTTTGACTTATATCACACCATACGTAGCCAATTGTTTTAATCGGAGATGCAGTTCTTTAGGATTTGGCTGTTATACATTTCCACATGATAAGCCACTTCCTTGAGCTACCATTTGTGATAGCCAGGTCGCTTCTGAAAAAGAGCTACGTAGCTCATTGGGCCTCACCTGGTTATGTAAAAATAGTTTTGTTTTAAAACTTCGCTGTCTCTCCACGCGGCGCGCAGCCTGGAGGAGCTGGAGCGGGCCCTCACAGAGAGCCGCGCCCGGGCCGCCGAGCTGCGGGAGCTTTGGGCGGTGCTGGGGGTGTCGAGAGCGACGGCCCTCGGCTCGCTGTCACGCCTGGAGGAGGAGGCCGCCACGTTGGGGGTGACCGTCTCCCCCTGGGACCTGCCGCTGGAGGAGGCCCACAGCTGGCTCTCCAAGTGCCAGGTGACACCGACAACGCAAACGCTCCACCGACTGCAACCACCAACAACAACAAAACACACGGAGCACGGCGCTGGACAGAGCACCACAACCTCCGGGACAACCCCCCACAAGCAATCCGCACATTCGACTCAACCATCACCGCATTAAAAACTCAACAACTCATCTCTTGCACTTGCACAAATCGACAATTAACTCACAGCAACAATTTGCTTTATTTTTATTCCATTTCTACTATAGATAGATTGTAAATAAATTTCAGTTTTTCTCATGGTTTAGAATATTTCTAATTTCATGTTGAGTTTGAGTGTTAATGCAATGATGGCGCTTTTAGTGGCAGATTTGTACAAGAAGGGCACCACTTGTGTAAACAAAACTAGACATGACTTGACTCGACTGGCAACAAAGTGCTTCGTTTCCGCCGGAACGGTCGGGAATGGTCCGAAACGCGGTTTCGGGAAAGCCAGGATGGCTGGCGAACCTCCAACGGGTGGTGTACATTTCTGTCTCCGTTGCTGGGCCCCGCTAGGAGATGGAGGCCGGCGCCGACGCTGCAGAGAGCTCGCTGGCGGCCCTCTCGGCCCGTGCGGACGAGCTGAGCCAGCGCGCGGGCCCCACGGCCGCGGCCCACGCCCGGCTGGAGGGGGGGGCCCTCGCCCACCGGCTGGGCCGTGTGCGGCGCTCGCTGCGCTCCAGCCGGCTCGCACTGCAGGTACCGGCGTGGCTTCATTATCATCGAAATCGATACTCTGTTTCAGGAGGGTCCTGCTGAGTTTTCGCAGTAGGGGGTGATGTTGCCGCTGCTGTGTGTGATCCAAATTGAGTAATTTGCAGGTGATTTTTTAGCATTGGGATGTTTTGGTCAATACTACCGATGGGAGGAAACCAGAGAACCCAGAGGAAACCCATACAGAAGAAGCAGGGGAGAAAGTTCAAGCTCCGCACGGAGTTAGGAATCTAACCCAGGGGCTTCCTGCTGCGAGGTACAGTGTCACCACCGCGCCACACTGCTGCCCTTACACAGCGCCTAAAGGCGATCGTAGGCAGAGAAGAAAGACGAGCTTCGAGCCCGCCCGTTAGGCCACTGGTGCCGCCGGCGTGGCGACGCCGGTCTGTCCCACGTGGGGGTTCGGCCCCAACCCTTGTGTCTCTCCTGCAGCATGGCAGCAGCGTCCACCGGGGCCTTGTGGATGGCCTGCGGGCGCTGGGGGCCGTGGTGGAGGAGGCCGAGGCGGTGCTGGGGAGCGAGCGACACGACGCCCATCCTCCCGGGGAGCCCGGAGGAGCGCACGGCCGCGCAGCGGAGATTAAGGTGCCAACGCAGGGTCCGGCGTCCACGTGTTCCGCACGTGTTCGCAAGTCGCTCGCGAGCCACTCACGCTTATGCAAATATAGGCCAAATGCTTATACACAAGCGAGCTCCCGACATCTACCCACCGGTGGACTGCCGTAGGGTTCGGATCGCTCGCGTGTTGTGGATGCATGCTCAAGATCTCCTGGAATGCGCCCGATCTCGGCAGATCTCGAAAGCTGAGCAGGGTTGAGCCTAGATAGTGCGTGGATGAGCGGCAACCACCATGCATAAAAAGGTACGATAGGCTGTTGCGTTTGCCACGTTGCGGTCAGCAGAGGGCACTGCGGCAAAAATCTATCTACATCCACACGCGCTAACCAAATAACTCCCACGACCTCGCACGGTGCGGGGAGGCCCTCATCCGGCGGGCCGTACGTGGACTCTCTCACAGGCAGTATTGTGCTGTCACATTAAACAGTTCCAAGTGGCTCCCTGAGGTTCGGTAGCGGCAATAACCGCGACAGCCGTGACCTTGACCGCTCGGTGCCGCCCCCTGCACCCCCCGATGAGTCCGCTTCAGCTGCAGCTGCTGAGTCTGGCGGCGGCGGTGCCGGCGCTGGAGGCGGCGCGAGCCGACGGGCGCCAGCTCCTGCTGGACGGCAGCGATGCGCAGCACCTGCGAGCGCTGTCCGCGCGCTGGCACGGCGCAGTCTCGCAAGCTGCACTCACATCAAGGTTTGTTTGTTTGTGTGTGTGTATGTCTGGTTGGCTGTGTGGGGAGCGGTATTGTAACAGTTAGCGCGCCGCCCTACGAACCCGGGGACCCGAGTTCGATTCCGACACCAGTGACGATTGCCTGAATCGGCCCTGGGTCTCCCCTAGGTCGACTCGGTCTCAAATGAGTACCTGGTGCGTTGTGTTAACATCGGGGAGGCAAAGGCGGCCGGGCGTGGTGCTGGCCACACACCCCCTCGTGTGCACTGCCGACCTAAGTAGGTGCTCGCTAACAGCACTTGCCCCAACAGTCTGTTAAAGCTATAGGTGGGATCTTTGTCTTCGGTGGTTATCGGACTGCGCTGTGAAAGGGAAGATCTGAAATGAATTCCCAGCCATAATTACTAGCAGCGCTTCATGTCTCGGTGAGTCGTTCAGTATCTACAGTATGAGTAGTTTTCCCCAATGTCGAACACAGAGACATCAGCGCTTGTCCATCACAAAAGAAACAAACGAGGATCATTTCACGACGTTCAGTTCCGGGATGCGTCTTCGGGGTCGCGTCACCGCACGCTGTTCGGCGTGACGCCCGAAGTTTTTCACGCGTTGCTTTGCCCCGATGGCATCCGCCTGCGTCATCATAATCATCATCATCACCATCTCTGCGCCCCCCCCCCCCCCCCCGATTCTGCAGCCAGCAACAGGGTCAGTGGCTGCAGCGACGGAGCTTCGTGGAGAAGTGCCGGTGCTGGAAGAGGCTCCTCCTGGAGATGGAGCAGAGCCTGGACGTGGAGGAGGCTCCCGGCCTGGAGGACGGCCGCCACGCCAAGGAGAACGGGCAGGCCGCTCGCGTGGACCTCGCCACGACCGGCGAGCGCTCGTCCCCGCTCGACCGCCACGGGGAGCGTCCCGACGCCGGCGGCGCGACGGCGCTCGGGGAGCGCTACGACAATCTGCTGGAGCGGCGGAGGACCGTGGAGGTGCGAGGATGCGTAGATTTTCTTTTGACGTGAAAGCCTTTGGCAGGAGGTTTGCGGCAGTGGTGGCGGTGGCGGTGGTGGTGACCGTGGCTGAGACTTCATCAGGATGCGATTGTGTCCTGAGGGCGGATTCTGAAATCATTCATCCAGCAGTGGATTCTATTCTATTCTTGCGCGTGATGGCAAGATGTTCAGGAGCGAAACGCCAATGTCGAGGTCTGTTAGCCACAAGGGGTTTCAGCGAGAGGTATTTTAATTTTGGTCTTTCTCCGTTGAAGGAGCACAGACTACAGTGGTTCACAATGTGGCCCAAAGTTCGGGTTGCTTGGCCACAATCACACGGTGGCTTGTGTTGAATGTATCTATATGGGTTTGTGTGTATCTCTGTGTGTTTCTACGTCTCTGGGGGATTTCTATGGGTTTACTGTATGGCCCATACTTTGGGTTGCATAGCCACAATTGCACTGCTGCGGCCTGTGTCTTAAATGTTCAATTCATGAAGGAGATGTGTATACCAGAACATCCACAGGCTTCATGAAGGCCTGTTGATGTTCTGATGCGGTTGATGGTTCCACCAGTGTCTTCGAGGCATTTCGAAGCCAGGAGGTGCGTTAAATGTCTGGCTTTGGAATGAGGCGTTTATTCTGGACATCCCCGTTGATCCACTCTGTTGGCTAGCAGCATCCTTCCGGATCTGGGTGAGATTCCAGGATGGTATCAACAGCAGCAGCAGAAGCAATCCTAAGAAGGGGGGATCGGGCTTTGAGTTGGCGGCGCGGTCGTTAATTCTAACAGTCGATTGATACTGGGCGACGGTGGTGGTGGTGATGGTTGTTCTTCAGTGCCTCCTGGTGAAGGTGCTGAGCCAGCAGGCGCTTGTGCAGGAGGTCATGCGGGAGGGCCGGGAGCTGCTCGAGAGTGGGCGAGCAGCGGACCGGTACGCTGGGCAAGGAGGACACGCAGGGACGACCCAACACTCGTGCACACGTGGCAACTCTGCGCATCTACGATAAAAATCGAGTACATTTAGTGCTTTGCACAAATCATCTTAATGTGCTTGGCAATACAGTATAAAAAAATATTTTAACTTATTATTATTAAAACCATTGAGACTAACAACCAATGGCAGCGTAGGGGGCAGCACTTTCCAACCCTCCCTGCCGCGTGAGAGAAATGTTCGTCACGTGACAGCCAAACCGATATTTTATTTCTCAGACAAATGGAGCGCAGCACCACCGTTAATGCTCACACGTGTGCCGCATCTCACCACGTAGCTCGGCGCTCGGGCCCAAGCTGGCGCTGCTGGCTGTGGTGTGGCGCGGCGCGGTGCGGCGCACGCGGCACGCGAGGGAGGAGCTGGCGCGCCGCGCCGCCTCGTGGCGCCGCTACCTTGAGGCGGGCGCTGCCGCGCGTGACGCTCTGCACTGGCTGGAGGCCGAGGTGACGGAGCTGGAGCGGGGCAGCGCCGGCCTCTCCCATCCGCGGGTGGCCCTGCTCCTGGAGGACACGGAGGTACGGCCCGCCCAGAGCTGCGAGGTGGAACGGGAGGCGGCCCGCAGCCGCCGCTTAACCGCACTTGTTCCTGTGGCCCGTGCCTGTGCACGTACGTACGTGTACACGTCGGTACGTGTACACGTGCAGCCTTTTCAGTAGGCACGTGGCGGGTGGCCGCAGTCATCGGAAGAGGTATACATACCAGATGTGGTGTGCCGGATACGTAAATACAACCCTCCCTAGATCTACACGTGGAACACACACAGGCCTCTTGTCAGCCCCTTGCTGCTCGAGAGGCTGGGGTGTTATTTGAACATACTTCACCACACTGGTCACTGTGGGTTGTTGAAATCAGGGGGGAATGCACCAAATCTCATCAGATCTCGGAAGCTTAAGCAGGTGTGAGCCTGGAAAGTACTAGCGTGGGCGACCACTGGGCATAGCACAGGCGTCGTTGGCTGTCGCGGGCAACATAGAGAAACGCACCAAGATAGATTATTGTACAATACTATGCTGCCACGTCCATGTTCCCCACCTTCAAAAATGTGCACTCACCAACGTGGTGAAATAAGGATAAATAAACTCCCATAATCCACAGGCCCTCATCCAGAAATGGATTGACAAAACATTGACTCTATGACCAGCAGCTTAATTTCAGCCGTGCCCGACCTGGCCTACCAGCGACCCGGGAAATATATCCGCACGCGGCATGCCGCGTCCAGTATACCTCTCGCGACGGCTGTGGCTACTCGGGTCACGTGCCACCTATTTCAGCCTTTCCAGCAGCGATCCGCGGAGATATTCGGTGATAAATCAAACCCCGGGGTCTTGGCACTGGAGGTGAAATCCCCGACCCATGAACGATTCCCTCTGCACCCCGCCCCATCCACCACCGTACCGCGTGCCGTGCGTGCCGCAGGCCGTGACGCGCGCCACGCAGCGCACGCTGGGCGGCCGAGCGACGGCACTGGAGGCCGCTGCCGCGGCCGCGGCGCTACAGCTGGAGCCGGCGGCGCGAGGCCGCCTGCACCACGAGGTTGTTGCCGCACACGAACGGTGGAAGCAGGCCGGGCTTCGTCTGCACATCCTTCATCAGCGGCTCACGTGCAGCTTGCAGGTGCCGTGTGTGATGGGGGGGGGGGAGAGGCCAGGGAGCGCAGAGCAATGAGAGGTGTCTGCAGCGATCCTATCGAGTTCGGAGACACCGCGTGGATTATGTAACGCTTTCCATCGTGCAGTCAGGAAATACCACGTTTATGTTTTTTGCAAATACTTTCCCCAGTTAGGTCTGCCAAGTATTTGGGCGACCTTTTGATCAATCCCACTTGCTCTGGTGGTGCTGATATCTCCTGGCCACATCACAGCTCAATTGAGATTTTTTTGCAGGTAATTTTTTTAAATGTCGACCATAACACGGGCACACAGTGGCCTACTCTGGCGATTGACATCGCAGGATCTGTGAAAGGTTGATACAGCCGCAGTGTTAGCCAGGGTGGCCTGCCGGACTCGAACCACGAACCTTCCCAAGAAGCAGCGAAAGCACCACCACGTGACCATGTTACGCAACCCTAACCCCACAAAAAAATATATCGTGATTGAATCACAGGAAATGTCCGGTAAAACCCCGCACTTGTTTTAAACGGGAGCATTTTAAGTGGGATTACTTTTGACACGATCTGAAATTTACGTTAAAGGGAGTTTCATCATTTTCATTCCCAATTATGATTATCGCACATTCAACAAAATCGTACTCAACTATGTGTTCCTATTTCAATGGCAATGCCAGTCCTTTGACTGTCCAGGAGAGCGTCACTCTACAGGCTCTGCAGGGTATTCCTGCAACCGCACGTCTGTTGTTGTGGTCGTGGCGTCCGTCCACGTACTTCCCCCGCGGTAAACGGAGGGCCTCTGAAGATGCGCGAGGACGCGTGGCCAATTCTAAAAAAAAACTCGCTTTCATGCCAAGCTGGCTGAATGAATAATTCAGCCGGATTGCTCGTCTTGTACATTTAATTAAAATCGCGGCTCGCTTTGAACGCAAACGAGCGGCAAAACGCGTGTGCCTGTTTACTCTCGCCAGAGCGCTCATCGCACGCAGTGGCCTCCCCGCAGAATCAATTAATCGCGCGTAATTGCTGCGATGCGTCTGCTGGGCGGCGGTCCGGGTGCTCCGTTAATTGAATCGTCGGCTTCTTAATGTGGCCAAGAGTTTTTTGCCTCGCACGTATTGCCGCGGCGGCGGTGGGGCTCCTCTGCAACTCGGCGTTGGCTGCTGTGGTTGCGGATGCTGCCGCAATGCGATGGCGCGACGCCGTGGCTCGGCACGCTGAGCTCGCGATCCAAGCGGTCGCCGGTTCCATCTCCCGGCGCGGCAGTTTAAACAATGGTGCAAGTTTCTTGAAGGCCCACCCCCTCCCCCCGCCCCCCTGCCTCTATCGTGCATGTGCGCGCGCGTTTGTTTGCGTGCGTGCACGTACGTGTGCGTTCGCTAAAGGTTACTTGCTCGGACGGTCTATTAAGGCTATACGGGGGATCTTTGTGTGCGTGTGTATGAATGCGTGGCCGAGCAGGAGAGGGAGGGCTGGGAGTGCGTGCTGGAGGGCTCTTTGGAGAAGCAGGCCCTGCTGCAGGAGAGGCTCTTCCTGCTGCTGCTGCCATCACAGGAACCGCAGCTGCAGGAGCAGCAGCTGCAGTGCAGGGTGCGCGTGGAGACGAGACGAACACCGCCACCACACCAATCATAACATGATGATTGCCGACTCGGCACAATGAATGCCGACTCAGCACGATGAATGCCAAGTCGACATTCATCGTAATGGCGAGACTGGCGGATCGCCAGTGAACGAACGGTGTTCATTATCTTAAAAAAAAATTGTACTTGGTAGTAGGGTTTTAATTTGCTTGGTAGTGGCTGTATATGGGATTTGGTCTTTATATATTATTAATGTACAGCATTATGGGATGCTATTAGCATGAATGACGCTATATTTAAAAGAAGTTATTATTATCTTTCAATGTTTGTGCCCGTGTCATCACGTGCTTGCGATGTATTAATCAACAGCAGAGTGAAATATTTCAGTTTAACACGTCGGCTTTCGCGACCAACACTATCCGTAATAAATATTTTTTTGGGTTAGATCTCGTAAATATAAATGCGTCGTTAAACCCGCCACACACCCGACACGGCCAATTAGCAAGGTTGAAAATTACTCTCTTGAAACATTTCAAGAGAGTAAAAGATTTTCCTGCACCGCGAGCGCCTTATGCCGGCCTGCCGTTGAATGTGTCGCGCGGTGGCCAACGGAGACGTGACGCTGCGCCGTGTGCCCAGGAGCTGGAGCAGCTGGTGGGCGAGTGCACCGAGGAGCTGGAGGGGTTGGAGGGGCCGGAGGGGCCGTGCTCTTCCCTGGAGCTGCCGGCGTCGGACGAGGACCGCGCGCTGACGGAGGCCCGCGTGGCCGGCGTGCGCTGGCAGTGGGCCGACCTGCAGGACCAGGTGAGGGGCCACACCCCCGCGGCAGGCGGCAGGAAAGAGCGTTCCGGCGTTCTGAATCCGTCGGGTTTTTGGGGTCGCGCCGCATGACGTTTGGCGTCGTGTCCAACGTTGTGTTCCACATCCTGGGAGCTTCCTATTCGGTTGAAGAGGAAGTTCCTGGCCGGCCAAGCAAATGCCTAGTGCTCCAAGCAGCTCAAGGAAGTGCATTAGCTCAAATTCGAATTATACTATAAACATAATCAGCCAATCTAAACTTCTAATTAGTCCCTTTCATCCCTATCATATCTGCATTTATTTTCTCTCATCTCACTAAATCTTTGTCTACAATTCTCTTGTAACACTACACCTCTATCTCTCGTCTACATCTGTTCTGTCATCGTGCGCAGAGTTTTTTGCCGATGGCATCCAGCCAGGTGGCTCAAAGGCAGAGCACGGAAATCCTATTTAGGGGTTGACTCGCCGCATCATCCCGCGTCAACGTCAGTATGGCGAACTTCTTTCGCACCGTACATGGCCAACCGTGCTAATCGGAGGTGCGGGGGAAGAACAACAAAGATTTAACGAGTACCACTTTGTGGGAAATTCATCATCGGTTTTCTTTCAAATAGACTCGCCCCTGCCGCAGGGACGGGACATTTCCACCACTGGGTCATCTTTGTAAATAGGAAATGAATCCTCGTTTGAGAAAAAAATTACTTCGAGTGCCCCCGAGGGGTGACCACCACCACCAGTGCCACGCACGCGCTCGTGACAACTCTGCGCGCGTGTATGCCCGCGGGGGCGTGCAGGTGAGCCGGCTGTCGCGCTGCGCGTCGGAGCGGCACGAGGAGTGGGAGACGTTCGTGAGGCGCGACTCGCGGCTCTGCGAGTGGCTCGTGCGCCTGGAGCAGGCGGTGTCGCGTGGAGGCGAGGGCAGCCTGGAGGAGATGCTGGGCTGGCTCGAGAAGGTGAGGCCCCCGGACGTGGGCCTCCCTACGCCCTGCGGGTCTGGCCAGGGGGGCTCATTTTGACCACACTTCACCACGCTGGTCGGCGTGAGTTTGTGCCGGCGGGGATATAGATTAACGGCGCAACGATGGATGTTGCTGCTGTGCACAGCATACGGCCCCACAGCCTGTAACACCCGTTGTACATGGTGGTCGTCCGTAGAAACACTCTCCAGGCTCAACGCAGCCTAGCTTTAGATATTTGATGAGATCGGTCCCATTCCCGGTCGTTTGCTCATCGGCTTTACCCTCCAGGGGAACCTGTCCCCTCCTGAGGGCCCTATCCACTTATCTCGAGCAGGAAACACATCAGCATTCAGCCAGGTCCCTTGCGTCACTGCAAGGGCCTATTGCAGACATTGTATTTGTCTTGGGAAGTATTGAATTAGCAGTGCTGAAGCCGACACGTAGCTATCAGGGGACAAATGCATTTGCGCTTTTCGAAAAGTCGTTTTTGATCCCGCTAATAGCCACACAATGCAATACTTAAGTCTCGTTCGTATCGAATCGTCTTTATGAGGGTTATCGTGCCCCCTCCCTCTTGTTACAGGCAGAGAGCTAATACCTTCAACCTGAGATGGAAATCATCAATAATGGGAAAAACAATATCAAACAATATCCTTGGGGATGTTTGGACAATTTAAATTACATTTAAAAGTTATAGAGTGGAACACAGACAGACAGACGGACACATTTAATGCGCCGGCACTTTCACCCTTAACATGGAAGCGTTAAACGTGACAATCTGCAGAATCTGCAGAGCCGTGATCTGCTGGTGCTGATGCTGCTGCTTCTGCCGCCGTGCGTTTTGCCGTGCGCTCCGCGCCAGGAGTGCAAGGACGAGGTGGAGGCGGCGGGCGACTGCTGGGCCCGGCTGCAGGCGTTCGGCAACCAGCTGGTGGCGGCGAGCGGAGCGACGCGCGCCGCCGAGATCAGTGACAGGCTCGGACGCACGGAGGACCGCTGGAACCACCTGCACTACTTCTGGGCCACCAGGTGAGACGGGCAAGCGAGCGCGCGCGACAGTTGCCACCTGCCCTGGCTTTTCCCAGGGCAGGTGGCAACTGTCGTGGGGGAATATTTCGTGAGTCTTCCCGGATCGTTCACATCCGTCACAGCCGGTCCTGGCTCTTGTCGGGACTCGGCGATGCCCTCCTGTGGTCGGGGCCGGTATTTCACGCTTTGTGGGCAGGATGTTTGGTCTCTGGGGCGTCTCTGCTACCATCTTGTGGCAGCTTCTGAAAAAGGGAAAACAGACAAAGAGCGGCGTTATGCCCCCTCCCGTTCATTCGGAAATTGTTTTTTTACGTGAATCACAGCAGCAGCACTTCACCAACCTGCATTGAGCATCGTGGTAAACTATGGTCAAACACCTCCCATGAAGGACACGGCGTGGAGAGGCACGCCATCATCCAGCAGTGGGTTGACAAAGGGATAACAATTCTAGATTTGAAGCTTTCGTGACTGCAAGGATCCATACTCTTTGGTTCTATTCGTCTTCTGGACAGTCCAGTCCCTTCACCTGATGAAGGCCACTTGTGTTGTGGCCGAACGTCGTGATTTTATTTTTATTGTTTTATTTTTTTTCCAAAGGGATAACAACCGTGATTGTTAATGCATAGCACGCTGTCAGTGACCCACCCGGTCGAGTAACCGGTGAACAAAGTCACGTGGCCTGCAGTGCAAAACCAGCGTGCGGCGTCGGTGAGGACCGCACAGCCACGTGGTTTAGCAGCACCGCAGCAGCAGTCGTTCGTGCGAACAACTCTTCTTGCACGCGCGTGCAGCTCCGTGGCGACAGCGATGGCGGTGGTGGTGGCGAGCGGTCGTCCCCGCGAGCCGCCGGGCCCTCTCTCGGCGCGTCGACTCGCCCTCCATCCCCGGCATTGACGCCGATTGTTCGGTAGCGGCGAGCGGAAAACGAGGCCGTGCCGGCTGCGTTGCTCGAGCCGACGACGGCGGCGCGCGAGACGGCGCGACGCATCGGCCCTCGTTTAAGCCGCGTGCGGTGACGTGCGGGAGGCCCGCGCTGATCAGGCTCAGCCGTGGCGTGGGCGAGCGGCAGCGGGCGGAGGGGGGAAACGGTCGTCAGATTAGCGTTGGCATTGTGAGGGGAAGGGCATCGCATTACCTTCGTCTGTTTGTTTTCCTTGATTGTGAGCCGTGGATCCATGCTCGCGTCATGTTTCCAATCAAGGTTACGAAGAGCACACAGAGATGACACGTCGACACCTTTAGTCAATGAGGTGTTAGCAAGGCACGTGTTGCATGTGTATCAGTGTGTTCTGCGTTAGCAAGGCACGTGTTGCATGTGTATCAGTGTGTTGTGTGTTAGAGGGGGAGCGCTAGTGTAGCGTTTAGCGCGCTGCGCTATAAACCTGGCGCACCGGGTTCGATTCCCGCTCACGGCCAATACCAGTGACGATTATCTGAATCGGTCCCGGGCCTCCCCTAGGTCGACTCAGCCTCAAATGAGTACCTGGTGCGGTGTGTAAACATTGCCACTAGGGAGACAAAGGCGGTCGGGCGTGGTGCTGGGCACCCACCCCCTCGTGTACCGTTCCGGCCTTCATAGGTGCTCGCTAACAGCACTTGCCCCTACAGTCTATTAAGGCTACACGGGGGATCTTTGTCTTTGTGTGTTAGCAAGGCACGTGTTGCATGTGTATCAGTGTGTTCTGTGTTAGCAAGGCACGTGTTGCATGTGTATCAGTGTGTTCTGCGTTAGCAAGGCACGTATTGCATGTGTATCAGTGTGTTCTGTGTTAGCAAGGCACGTGTTGCATGTGTATCAGTGTGTTCTGTGTTAGCAAGGCACGTGTTGCATGTGTATCAGTGTGTTCTGCGTTAGCAAGGCACGTATTGCATGTGTATCAGTGTGTTCTGTGTTAGCAAGGCACGTGTTGCATGTGTATCAGTGTGTTCTGTGTTAGCAAGGCACGTGTTGCATGTGTATCAGTGTGTTCAAGGCACGTGTTGCATGTGTGTCTGTTCTGCGTTAGCAAGGCATGTGTTGCATGTGTATCAGTGTGTTCTGCGTTAGCAAGGCACGTGTTGCATGTGTATCAGTGTGTTCAAGGCGCGAGTTGCATGTGTATCTGTGTTAGCAAGGCACGTGTTACATGTGTATCAGTGTGTTCTGCGTTAGCAAGGCACGTGTTGCATGTGTATCAGTGTGTTCTGTGTTAGCAAGGCACGTGTTACATGTGTATCAGTGTGTTCTGCGTTAGCAAGGCACGTGTTGCATGTGTATCAGTGTGTTCTGCGTTAGCAAGACACGTGTTGCATGTGTATCAGTGTGTTCTGTGTTAGCAAGGCACGTGTTGCATGTGTATCAGTGTGTTCTGCGTTAGCAAGACACGTGTTGCATGTGTATCAGTGTGTTCTGTGTTAGCAAGGCACGTGTTACATGTGTATCAGTGTGTTCTTCGTTAGCAAGGCACGTGTTGCATGTGTATCAGTGTGTTCTGCGTTAGCAAGACACGTGTTGCATGTGTATCAGTGTGTTCAAGGCACGTGTTGCATGTGTATCAGTGTGTTCTTCGTTAGCAAGGCACGTGTTGCATGTGTATCAGTGTGTTCTGTGTTAGCAAGACACGTGTTGCATGTGTATCAGTGTGTTCAAGGCACGTGTTGCATGTGTATCAGTGTGTTCTTCGTTAGCAAGGCACGTGTTGCATGTGTATCAGTGTGTTCTTCGTTAGCAAGGCACGTGTTTTATATTGCGTGTTGGTGAGTTGTTATGCCGCAACAAGGCTCTGGAGTCCCTCGCCCAAATTTAAAATGTATCCTGCATGGTATCCATGCTGCAGCCTGCACCCTTCTGTAAGATGCAGTGGTTGAGAACCATTTATTGTGCCTTGCATTTCTTGTAACATATCACCCATAGAAGGTACATTTCCCGTCTTGCATGAAAAATGTTGTTTTTAACAGTCTCTGACAATAGCACTTTCTCATCTCTTGTCAGCGTTGGCATTGCCTACAAGTGTTTGTGTTGCTGTTCCAAATGGCGCAGCAGCCCCTTGAAGGCGTGCATCCTTGTTTACCCTCGGCACAGAGCTCCGTAGCAGAATGTCCTTTCCGTTCAAACGTCCGTGACTGGTCTAATGGGAAGAGCTGGAGAAAATCAGAGCACTTTCAACGTGAATCGGGCATTTAGTGAACTTTTCAGCTCCGGCGCTGAAAAAAAAAGCCGCTCGGATTGAGCAGAGTAAGTGGAGCAAGGTTCTTTTTTTAAACTGATTGGTTTTTACAGCTCAGCTCATTACCGCACTAAATTTAGCCGAGCCAGTGTGAACGGCGCTCAGCTCAAGGCACCAGTCGGGTCAAGGGGGACTGGCGCCCGTCGGAATAAAAGTCCTTCTCACGCCAGCTCTATCAGCAGTGTCCGCTGCCCCCCCATCGACTCGCCGTTGCTATGCAGAGGCACGAAATGCCTCGTACGTAAAGCAGCCAGCCTCCACAAGTGCTCTTCACCGTCAACATCTGCTCAAGGGTTTACCCACAGGCCCTTGAACGGAGTAGAAAACTGAAAAAGGCCACCCATGAGTAATGAACTACTGACCAGAATGTTTCACCAAACGTTGAAATAAAAAAAATAACTAAAAAGCGAAAAGCGGTGCAGCCCTGTGATGGCTTGTTCACACAACTGCTGGTGGACGGGCGTGCAGAGCCTCCCGAGAGGGGGTTTGGCCTATTCTTCCACACTTTCCAGACATCTTGGAAGATGTGAGAGCACCCACACTTTACCCCACCACATACAATCTTAGAGGGGGGAGGGTGGAATTAAGACATTTGAACAATTTGCCAGGAGACGAAATTTAACGGGCGACCTCTGGACTGCAAGTCCAGCGTGCTGACCCTTGCACCGTGTTAGCAACCCACACAGGGATAGCATTAGTAGAGAAATAATTATTGTAGCAAGGAGGGTGGACGTAGAGCAGAAAAGAGGATGGCAAAAACTGAGAGTGGCTGATAACATTGGGACACCGGCACAACTTAAGACGGGAGCTTCAAGGGCAGCATAAGATCAGACGATCGCTGTTGACCTCTCACAGAGCGTTACTCGCGGGTCCCAGAGGGACGGCGAGAGGAGTTAACCCCCAACCGGGTTCTTAGCTCACATCCCCCTGACTTGAGGTGTTCGTCTCAAACTGCTGTGCCGCTCAAGATGAGCATCGGTACCGTTGTGAGGTCGGTTGCATCGGTCTGGTTGGCGGTTGTTTTGTCGGTGTGGTTGGTGGTTGGTTTGTGGGTGTGGTTGGTTTATGGGTGTGGTTGGTGGTTGGCTTGTCAGTGTGGTTGTTTTGTGGGTGTGGTTTTGTGGGTGTGGTTGGTGGTTGGTTTGTGGGTGTGGTTGTTTTGTGGGTGTGGTTGGTTTGTGGGTGTGGTTGGTGGTTGGCTTGTCAGTGTGGTTGTTTTGTCGGTGTGGTTGGTGGTTGGTTTGTGGGTGTGGTTGGTTTGTGGGTGTGGTTGGTTTATGGGAGTGGTTGGTGGTTGGTTTGTGGGTCTGGTTTTTTTGTGGGTGTGGTTGGTTTGTGGGTGTGGTTGGTTTATGGGTGTGGTTGGTGGTTGGTTTGTGGGTGTGGTTTTTTGTGGGTGTGGTTGGTTTGTGGGTGTGGTTGTTTTGTTGGTGTGGTTGGTTTATGAGTGTGGTTGGTGGTTGGCTTGTCAGTGTGGTTGTTTTGTGGGTGTGGTTGGTGGTTGGTTTGTGGGTGTGGTTGTTTTGTGAGTGTGTTTGGTGGTCTGTTTGTGAGTGTGGTTGGTTTGTGGGTGTGGTTGGTAGTTGGTTTGTGGGTGTGGTTGGTGGTTGGTGTGTTAGTGTGGTTGGTTTGTAGTTGTTGTTGGTGGTTGGTGTGTAGGTGTGGTCGGTTTGTGGGTGTGGTTGGTTTGTGGGTGTTGTTAGTGGTTGGTGTTTAGGTGTGGTTGGTTTGTGGGTGTTGTTCGTGGTTGGTGTGTCGGTGTGGTTGGTGTGTAGGTGTGGTTGGTTAGTGGGT